TCGCTCCATCTCGCTCGCACTCTCTCTCGCACCCGTTGTCCTTACGGGAAAATCGACCCGCGCGGACCGCGATATCCCGCGAACCGGCGGGCGGATCGCGAAATCCTCCCTTATCCGGCGCCTCGGGGTAGAGAGGGATCCCAGTGCGGAATCTCAGGGTCACACGGCCTCCCGTTCACGAGATCCGCTGATACGTGAGTCAGTGAGTGAGTCAATCAACGTGAAGTCTGCTTTATTAGTATAGATTTGCCCTGAGATTTTGCAACATTCAAACACCAAAATGCCCATTCACATGGGGTCAATGCGGTGCCCATGATTTTTTTTGCTTCAAGAAAATGCGTCAACACTGAATGCAATTAGAGAGGTTCTACATGTACCTCAAGTTCACTCTCATTTCGACAAACAAAGCATACCAAAAATACTTACTTGACCTCATCATCTTCATCATGCCAAGCCGGTTCACGTTTCTTTGATGAAGACGTTTTCTTAGCCGCTTCTACAGGAGAGACACTCATTGGTGTTGGTTCATCATTGTCACTCAGATTAGGGGTCTCATCAAACAAGAATTTTTCAAGCCTGAAAAAGGAGCAGTAAGTAAAAATTGTGACACTGGGATTAGGTAATATACCTGCTTGGCCAACCTCAATTTGTGAGATCACCTACCCAGCAAGACATGTCTAAAAACACAGGGGTCGATAATCTTCTGTACTTTCCACATTATCCGAGATACGCAGCAGGGAAGGTTTCCACAAGTTATATTCATTCCAGAAAAAGTGTTGACACTCTTCCTTCCCTTTATTATTTCTTTTTAGGGTAAACTGTGGAAGGTTTCTACGCTACGAGCCTCTCAAGACAGCGTATGAGGAAATTAAAGTAGAATAATTTATCCATTCTATTTGAGATGGAGCACGAAGAGTATGCTGTTATACTTCATCACTAAAGTTGTTGAGAAAGGAATAGTTAGTTTGTTTGCGAGTCGTTTTGAAGACAATAACCATTGACGAGAAGTGCTAACTTTGCCTATTTTTCTTGCTAGAAACATAATCGCCAAGAGCTTTCTTATATAACTGCAAAGTAGGAAACACACCAACATCCTAACAATAGAACTTAAGGAACTGCAAGGGAGCAACATTTCTAAAGATTAGACCCAATTATTCTCGCAGAGTCTTTCAAATGTTGATTAAGTAATAAGTTTCCATGACATGAAAAAATAGTGAGTAAAGCTGATTTTATTTTACAGCATCTTATCTCGGATCATCAGACACTACATAAGTAACATCTGAACTTTTCCTGGATATCATTGCACATTTCTCTATTACTCTTGCAGCCTTTGAATGAAACAATAAGTAGCTGTAGTGCCTTGTGAAGATGCGTTCTGATAGCGAATAGGCCTCAACGGAAATTATCCGGTGAAAGCGTAATGAGTTTGGCGATCGTCCTTGAGTCCATGTTGAGGCAACGTTTTTTACCTGGTGACTGTCATGGCGATTCAACGCTCACTGCAACTTGTATGGCTGCGAGTGAATGGAGAGATGCATTTTTTATAGACAAAGGAGATTATTTTGGTGAGTTACCCTTGGAATTACCCTTTGGCCAAGTAAGGCCTGACTACTGTCATGTGACTTTGTTTACCTTCTTATTACTTAATTCTCCATTCACCGGAGGCAACAGGTGCTGAGCTGATGCAGTGAGCAAGCAACCACCATGACACTTTACTGGGTAAAAAGCGCTGTGCAACAGAGATTCAAGAACGCTTGCAACGCCCTCACCGTTGAGACCCGTTGTCTATCACAAACGCACCTGAGCGTTAAGGAGGTAAACAAAGTCATGTCACAGAAGTTGGGCTTTAGTTGGACAGCAGATAATTCACTGAGTAATTCACCAAATGTACCTTGGTTTTATATCACAAATGAACATAATTGTTCTCGGCAGTACGATTCGTTCAGTCAAGATTTCAATAACAGGGTGATGTAAATTTTTGTGCTGATTATGCATACAACATATTATACCTTTCTTCCTCTTCCTTATCAGGAATTGTATCATCATTGATAAGGTAGCGGATCTTTTTCTTCTTGGAAGTAAATGCTGGAGGAGACTTGGCATGGCGCTTCTTCTGTTTAACGGGTTCGGAGACTTTCGCCATTTTTTGCTGATTTGAGGATACACAAGTAATTGAAACGATTACGCACAAGATACTGCACTACTGGTGCTGATGAGATTATACAGAACTATGGTAAAAACAAACACAATAATTGGCAAGTATCATTATGACTGAATTTCCTTGATTCACATCTTATTCACATCCACATTCACGTCGTGTTGTTTAAAAACATAACCTAACTCTTAGCGGAGCAGGAGGAGAGGCCGGTGGCGCGGCGACGGACATTCTTGTAACTCATCACATTTCCGGCCGGCTTACAATAGTAGTACCTTATTTCCGGGGAAAAACTCACGACGAGAGGGGGGGTAAATCCCCCCGATTTACTCAGCTCGAGTTATTTTTCAAAATGAAACTTACCGAACTACTTTGCGATACGTTTTATGAGAGGCGGAAGAGAGATAGATACATCGTAAGAAAAAGCGCAATCATGCAAAATAATATCGTGAACTGAATTGGTATTCTTTTGATGCTACGCCTCGAACGACCGGGAAAAGGTACATACATACATACCGACGGTGAAACTACAAAAGTGCGTGACTCGGTCGCGGTATTTCGGTATATCTTCGCCATATTTTATTTTTTAAAAGGAGACCAAACCAACATCTTGGCTTGAAATTTTCAAGAAATGACTTTCAGTAGGTAGTTTTCCATGGAGAAAATAAAATAAAAATATGACAGCAAGTCTGCAACGCCGCAGACCGAGATACGCATTTTTGTACTTTCATCATTAATATGTAGGTACCATTATACACTTGATATAATAAAGGTTGAGATAGGCAGTGAGAAAAAGGCATATTCTGCCGTTTCTTATGTAAAAATCCCGGAGGTGCATCAAAGGCTAAGTTCTTCTGTAAAAATCCTGGTGGTGCATCAAAAGCCAAGTATTTCTTTCCTAGGACCTAGATGTGTACCTACACACTCATATTCTTATGTATGAACTTTAGAGGGTTTTTTTCTTCTCCTTTTTTTTTCGACTAAAGTATTATTATTTCATTAGACCCTCCTCTTGTTAGTTATTTATGAAACCATTACTTAAACTGTTCAAACTTTGATGGATATTATTCATCCCTCACTTATCATCATGTTCCCTCGGCATTAATTTCTTTGAAAACTTTTTTGAGGTGAGACTTTCAAGATGCCCTCATAGAAATCAACAGTAATACTTTAAAGTAGTGAATTTAGGGAACCAAGTATTTTGTACCTACGTTAGCAAATCTTTAATTATTTTTACTTTTTGCAGGGAAGACATCATAAAAGAAAAAAAAATTGGAAAAAAAAAAGGTGCAGTAAATTAAATAGGCTGTCTTAAGCCTCTGTTCAGCAGGATATCTTCTTGATTACTTAGCATAAATCAATTCCACAAAAGTCAGTGCAGTTGAGATGGATTTGAGACCTGTGTTAAATGTTTGAAAATGAAGTGGATTCATAAATAAAATAAGGTAGCATGAAAAGCTGGTAAAATTAAATCAGTGTAATAATTAACAAAATAAAATTTTATTTTGCAATAATTTTCATTGTTATGAAAATGATTACATGAGAATTTCAGGGCATGCACTACTTTTGGACAAACAAATTTAAAACTGTCAGAGAGGTAAATTGAAATACAGAAAAAATCAAAAACTTGAACCAAAAAACCTTGAGTCTACATTCCAACATCACAAAATTTTGCTTGGTTTCTGATTTTATAACTTTTTAAGCTAATTCAAAACCATAATAAATCAATATTATTTCTAAAAAACAAAAATGTTTAATTTATATTTAACTTGTAAGTATATTCCTCATAAAATTGGGAAGTAAATTTTGTTAGGTAGTTTTCTATGAAAGCGTGAAATAAGAGTGCAAATTTTGGATTTACGGACACATAGGTATACTCTTTGAGCCTGTAGTCAACGTACAAACTAAAAAAAACTGACGATGAAAGACTAGATAATTTACATGTTAATGGTTTAAGTAAATACATGTAATTCCAATTTCAATGTAGCAAATTGCCCTTGTAAGATTTTTTTAAAAGGAAACCAATCGGCAATTTTTCTTAAAATTGACTGTAATTTTCTTAACTCATTCAAAATTATTACATAACAGAATATTTTAAGGAGATATTTTGGTCAATTTTTTAACAATTTATCCTTTGAAATGGAGACGTTCATTTTTCAACTTAAATCATTGCCATACTTATGTTACACTTCAAAACTAAGCAGGTACCAAGGACAAAATTGTTGATACAAAAATGGGTCTTTGTTGCATAATCAGGAAAAAGTAAACGCTGTATTGACTAGGAATTCATTTCTCAGAGCATGGTTTCCTCGGTTTTCGTCTTCTTAGCTCTTCTTCAGGTACATCACGGTACGGGAAATTCTCTAGTTTCGTAGTCTCTGGAGTGATTTTGACTTCTGTGGGAGAAAAAAAGATGTTTCAGTTGAAGCAGCATTCAATAAAATTAGAATGTTTTCAAGTCCAATCGCATTCTGAATGATTTCTGGATTGATCTTTCATTTTCTTTGGTATTTGTGCCCGAATTTGCCAGAAAACATAGGCCTGCATTGCTAAAGCAGTTTGGAAGTGCAAATCGATTAGAAATACTGATGACTTCAAAGGAGCTACAACTCTTCTTAAAAATTCTTTGTGAACTTGTTTTTCCTTATCAAATTCAGGTCAAAGAATTAAGATCAGTTCTACAAATGAAAAATTAAAAATATGGTTACATTGAAACTCAGATTGGAATCAAGAATGCATGTCTCTAATAGGACAAACATTCCTAAGACATAGCTGATAGGGTAAATAATAGTTTACGACAAATAAGCATATTGAGGAAGAGAAGTGATCACATTAATTCATGAGGATATTTCATTTCATGCTGAGGCACTTCCAAATAGTTTAAAAACGAGAACGCAATAAACAATTGTAGACCCCCAAATGAACTAATCAGCATGTCTACAACTCTCATCAAAATTTTTGAAATGTTTGTGAACAAAATAAAACGAGCCTTTGGTTTACAAAATTAGGAGAATGAAATATGCTATTATGAATCATCTCATCTTAGCAGCATCCTTTGATACTTACAACAAATTATAATTTACCTATGTCCCTTACTTGCATGAGTAACAGAGTAGAGTTGAGCTATGAAATCATTAAACTTACCATGATGGCCAGGTCTGATTTCTTTCACTTGAACAAGACTTGTCCTAATTTCATTTTCAGCTTCTCGAGAAACCTTGATTAACTAGATACAAAATGAAACATTCAATATCAGTAATTATAATTCAAAAGACAAGAATGAGGGTGATTGTATTAGTAACAAACATGAATCTATAAAAGACAGTGTGTACATGATACAGAGAATGCCTTAATATCTCACCGTTTTTCAGTCACTCCAGGCCACCAGATAAGGTGAATCTACAGCGAGAGTAAGCAAACATTGGGACATCAAACACATTTTGCTAAAATACAGGTTTCACTTTGGTTTTTTAACAAAAAATAGGTCAACTAAGCTCAGGGACACTATTCAGCTATTTTTTTCCCCAAGGAGTCTATTTTTTAAACTCTAGCATGAAGCTAAAAGTATTCAAACGCAAAAAGTAACCATTTATTTGACTAACTGAAAGCAATATTTTGCATTCACACACCTACATGTAGCTTCATTTTAGGATTTGCAAAAATGATTCTTTTGAGGCAACAGTTGCGTCAGCAAAATTGGTTCATTATTTGAAAAATTTAAAATGAAAACAGTAATTAAGCTTATTTGATATCTCAATGAATGTTCACTTCTGGTATGAATTCGCTTTGAAGAAAAACATGATAATAAGAGCCGATTTTGCATTATTAAAGGATCAAGGATAAAAAGAGGAAATCTTCTAAGGCCTTTCTATTATGCTCTAAGGCTCTGCACTATTAAAGGATTAAGGATGAAAAGAGGAAAGTTTCTAAAGCCTTTCTATTATGCTCTAAGGCTCCAGTATGGCTTTAACAAATTATTCTTCACAGTGAGCGGCTCAGGGCTTGGATAATTTTCAAAATTTCTTACAACAAAATTACGACATTAAAAGTCTGATTTACTTACCTCTTGAGTTGCAGTTTGGCTTGTAACATGTTTGTGTTTCTTGAATTCTTCATTTATTTTTTCTCTTGCAGCTGTTGGAGCAAAGAAAAAATTAATTATACTTTGAGACCATTGAAGAAATACTACTTTTAAGTCAAATCAACGGAAAAGAACTAAACCGAAATGGGTTGAAACAAAAATGAATAATATTGTAATTGAAATTTAGTTATGGTTCATTAAAATTTTCTCATGAAAACTCTCTGCCATGGCCATCAACAATTGCTGCTCCCAGATTCATACCCCTGATTGAACAAAGGAGGCTGAATTGAGTGCTTACTCATGTTCTTTTTCCCGAATAGTCCTTTTGAAACGCAAGATGGATCAGCTATCTTCCTTTAGCGTTGAAAGTAATAAGGTGAATCAAGGTAGTTTATCTCCTATCTCACTCTGAAAAAGAGTAAATCGCTTTGGTACAGATTCTACGAAGCATGCAAATTGCAGCAGATAATTTTTTTTCCCAGAGTTTTGAATATTCGTGACTGGATATAACAGTGCATTTACAGCATAGACTAAACATAGACTAGTACAAAATATGATCATTATTTTTGAGTAATGGGTGCAACCCTAAATTTTTTTGTGCACAACTCAGGATACCTTATTTACTTATACACATCAAACTATTAGGCTTTCCTTTAATTTATGATGTTTGAATCTGAACAAACCTGTCAACATCCGGGTGTCCCCTTCAAACTTAGACATACATGCTCGGTGCAGTGATTTGAAAGCTCGTAACACCTGAAAAGAGAGGAGTACTTTCAGATACTAGTTCTTAAATTTAATGGACACGTAGTTACAAACTGCCGATTGGCTATCGCACAAGGAAGCTCACTGCAAAGGTTCTACTTTTGGTTGATGAGAGGATTTTATAATCAGTTGAGTGCTGTCAGTCTAGAAAAAGACTCCATCAAGTTTACTTGACTTTTTAAGTTATTCAATTTGATACTTTCTGAGACCTTGATTAAGATACGTTTATCCCTTCCATCTACTTAAAACTTAAGTAGGTGCATAATATCCTGACAGGCAGATGAAAAAGATAAACATAATTCAAAACAGGATCTGATCGGTTCTTGTACAAAAAGTGGTACCTCTATAAGTACAAAAGGAGAGAGGATTTTCAGTTAGACAATGTTGCTTACAGCTTGAGTTTACTATGGTGTTCCGTTTTGTCAAATTGACACAAGGTCTCGGTATTAATTTGCAACAGCAAAGGCAATGAGTAAAATCGAATAAAAGATATGGACATTGGTGATAATAGATTCAGGCTGCTGTAAATTACTTAATAATAGATAATATTTGGTTGACATTTCACAACTTATCGGTATTTCACTGATACGTAACACAAATAGTGAATAGCGAAGACTTGAATCACAAACTCAGGTATAGAAAACTTTCAGTTACCTCTTGCTTTAGAGCTGACATGATGAACTACAGAGAGAGAAATAGATTTTCCTCAAATTTGTTAAAAATTGAAGGAAAATTGCATTAGTTTCTTGTTAGTCAAGACATCTCTTTGTGATGGATCGCTCGCAAAACAAAGGTCAAATGCTCAGAAAGTTGATTTTTCATAAAAAAATTAAAGGCGAATTGAAAGAGGGGAGTGAGAGGCTACGGGCAGAAAAAAGATTAGTGATTATTTTCTAAGTCTTGGACGGAAAAAAAAAATTTCCAGACTGAACAAACCAAACTAAACACAACAGGGATGAAGTGAGGTTAGGGTTAATGCCGTTTCCTCCGAGACTATAAGCACGTTAAAAAATGATAGTTGAAAGGAAACGAGGGAGCAAGTAACAAGTAGCTCAAATAAGTACCGAACTATCACTCAAATTAAAATTTTAACATCGTAAAAAAAAGTAGCTCCACTATCTCCTTCAACTTTTAGAAAACATTGAAAATCCTTGTCGGGATTGATAACAATAATTGATAACACCGGAAATGGATTTATTTTGAGAAGTGCAGCGCTCTCTAGGAACATTAACAGAAAGTAACAGAGATGTTTATTTACATTTTTTTAGCAGCAACAAGAAGGCAACGGTGTATTTAAATTTTGTGATCTGTGCATTTCAAGATCTATTTCATGATAACCTGTTTTTCACTCGTTTTCCCCTTTTACCTTCACAAATTCACTTCGTTCAATTGAAACAGCTAAGTTATCTGGTTTTACATAATTCAAATTCTGCAACATGAGCTTTTCCAGCGAAAGCCCCAGAAATTGGACGGACATCGGTTTCCGGCTCCTGGTCAATGCTGCCTCTCACCCTCTTGAATACGCTAAAGTACTAATCCAGGTGAGCTTTAGTAATTTTGTTGAACTCATGTATATCAGAAGAATCTAACGCTAGTCTAACGGAAACAATGGCAACGTTCACATGAGCACCTTCAATGCAACTATCAATGCAAGTTACCGAGTATGGACTCAACATGCTCCGAGAAAAAGCAGTTCATAAGGACTCTTTGATTCTTATCAATACTCATCGATTCTAGTTTGATTCGGTTCCAGAGAGTGCGCAGTCAGATACCTAAGTGGGAATAAAACTGCCAAGTATTCCGGCGCACTTTTTCCCAACTTTGATACCTCTTTCTCCCTCATCTTTAATGCAACCATAAGCCCCCTTTCTAGATCTCAAAATACTACCCTTGACCTCTCTCCCCCCTCCCCACTTGGTTGCATCCCTCCGGTCACTGCAGACAGTGATGAATGCATTGTCACTTGCCTGCTACAGTGTACATTTTCTACCATTCTGAGGATTTCCTATTATAAAGTCCAGACAAGAACAAAACAACACTTAAATTTCCTACCAATCTTTCCAAAAATTTCTCATTATCGATTTCCGATGTACAGATGAAAATTTTCCTTCTAAGTTAAGAAAATTATCGATAGATGATCAGAAATTTTTAATTCTTCCACACCAAGAAAAAAAAAAAAGTCAATTGAACCACCATATTTTTCTTCACAAAAGTTGAAAATTTTGGCCCCAAGTGTTAGCCCAAACTTGTAAGCACTATCAGGTAGGAAATTTTAAGTGACACTTTTTCATGGCTATTTAAAATATGTTTTTTTATGCAGTCTGTCAATCTTTTTGTAGCTTTTTTTTGGCACCTATTTGTTTTCCATCATTAATTCCAGTTTTAATTCTGTTTTTAGCTTGGATACGAGCCTCTACCTCCATATCCCTCTAGAACTCTCTTTGGCAAACCTGCCTATGCATTGCCAAACAATTTTGCCTACCGTAAGTTATATCATAATTCTCCATGTGTCATGTGATGGAGCCCTATCAGTAACAAAAATTAGAGCTCTTATGTCCTGGAAAGGAGGAATGCTAATGAGTGTTAGATATGTCAGATGTGATGGAAAGTATTATTCGGATTGCATCATAATATGTTTGTGCTTTTAGGCGAGAACTTGAATAATTTATCAGCCAGGTTCGAAACTGCTTTGAAGTATCTGAAAGTACAAATTTCTCTCAATTGCAGGATTGTGATTTTTTTGCTCGAAAAGCAGAACTTGAAAATTGTGAAGGCTGTTTTTTTTATGGCTCTTGTTTTTTGTGCTAACATACAATTTTGGCACACATGGACCCCTGAATTTCAAGAACAGATACATATTTTACTTCTCTTGTCAAATCAACATGCTCTCCAAAAATTAAACATGATTCCTAAGAGCGCATTGCTTTGACCTTTTATCTAGTGAAATTTTGAGGCGCTGCACAAAATTTAGAAAAGTACGGGGACCTCAAACGATTTTCACCCCTGAAGTTTTCTTTTTGTAAAACTTCACAGGGTCTTTCCTTCAGAATTTTTCTGTCTGTATGTCGTAGGTGATATATGTGGGCACTTTTATGACAGGGCTTTTGATTACTTCTCTACATTATGCCTAATTTGATACTAACTCTTCTTGCAGTTGGTTATATAAAGAAGGTTGATGGATTCACTGGACTCTACCGAGGTCTCTCTGGTAAACTTTGCACCCAGGTTGTTAATATCTGTGTGTATAACTCAACCATGGATAGTCTCAATCAGAGAGAAAAGAACCAACAAAGAGACGACGTCAACATTGAAGGATATGAGTGAGTACAAAATTGAGTTTCATCTCTCCAAATTCATTGAGAAGTTGAATGCAAGGAGACCCTTATTAGAAAAATTGCTTTTTGAGATAACGACTCCTTAAGTATACCACCTTCAAAAAGGGTTGGCTGAAGGCTTATAAATATATCGATATGATATGTTTGGTGGAATACGACAGGAAAAATCATGACAAGGCAAATGAATGACAAACAGAGTTAATTGACCAATTGAACTGCATTTTGCAATTTGGAACTATAAATTCTAGCCCGGTTTAAAAACAACGTATGAGCCATTAGTTTCCCTATGCACATACGTGTTTTTTCAAATGAGCCAGAATTTATAGGTCCAAATTGCAAAATGCAGTCCAATTAGGCTAAGCATCCAGCATTGACCATAGTGGTGAGTAATTCAAACACTGCACAATGCAGCTATCTGGAAAGTCCAGAAATAGTTCTGTTTTTTTGAGGGTGGCCCAGCATTATTAAAAAGTACAAAAAGTCTTCAAAGAGATCCAGAAATATTTGCTCCATGCCATGCCTGTTTTTTAAATCAGCCGGAAAAGAATGTGATTCCTTGCCCATTGATTCTTAGTGCAGTATTTACCCTCTAAATCGCAACCATGCATCCAATTGATCCTCAGCCCACCAATGAGTTTCAACTTTCAAGGCTACATCATTTTTGTCGCAAGCCACACGTGAAATTCAAAATTTCAAAGTTTTTTTTTAAAATTTTGTCACCTGAAAATACTGGAAAAAAACCTGAATTTTTTTTGATGAGGAGACATTGAAATTTTTGGAAAAGTGCCGAAAAAGTTCTAATTTTTTCCCAGCCAGTCTGTGTAGACACCCTGATTGTCGTTTTCTGCTCTTTCCTTTGACTTGTTTTAGTTGAATTTGTTTTTTAATATTTTCCACAGGCTGAGGCTCTTTCTACGAGATCTCTCCAAAGAAGTTGTTGCAAGATCAGCAAGCGTTGTTGTTAGCCATCCTTTTTATGTCATTTCGGTTCGAATGATGGCACAATTTATTGGTAGAGAAACAAAGTACAAGTAAGTCAACTTGGCAATGTTAATTCTCATCTATTTTCAGCTTTATTACCTAGATTATAATTTACACGAGAGTCATCATCTGACTCATGCTTGAGGAGACTGAACTCCAAAGAGCATTGAAAGGTATTTCAAGGCTAATAAGTAAGCCTCACAACTACTCTGCTATTTTTTTTTCTTCTTTTTTTAATTTTATTGCTTTGAAAAGAGAATTATTCTTTGATCCATGAAATTTTAATTCACAATCTCTAATCTTTCCGTTCGGTTTTTGGACTATCTTTCCTACCTAGGGTTTTGTATTCTATAAAGAGTTCTTTCTCAAAAAGTTAATAACATTCAGTTATAATATGAATTACAAGACTGATGGCTCAATTTTGTGAAAACATGCCCATGTACATATCTTCTAACGTTTGGCAAGCAGCCTTATTTCCTTCTTATAAAATAAAGTTTCCTGAGAAAAATAAATAAATCAACTAAATACCAACTTTTTTTGTTTCCAGCTCAATATTTTCATCCATAATTGAAATTTACCGTGAAAATGGAATCCGCGGATATTTCAGTGGCCTTGTACCTAGATACCTTGAAGAAATTCTCTCATTTGTTTTAACTTGGGGTGCAACCTATCTTATTTGTCGATACAAATCTTCGGATGAGGATGATTTCAAGTACTACCTCACTACTATTGCAAGTGTAAGTAAAGTAGGTTTATAATTTCTTTCCAGAGGTATACTCTACAAGAAAATAACATAATTATTAAATCCATTCCTGTACATAATTTTTTTAAAATATTCTCTCAAATTTAAAAAGGTACAAGAATTTACACTAAAACCATTTAATTTGATACTTCGCTTTGATCCAAGTGTTGAGTCCAGTTGTTAAGGGAAGAGTGTAGGACAAACATTCTGAAATATCACACCCTGGACTAGGATTGATAAACACTTACCAGTTGGACTACCTACATTTTTCAATGAGGAACTGTATTATTTCTGACTACTTATGAAACCTACATTTGTTGTATTACCTCCTCTATGTAGAGACATTCCTTTATGAGTGAGCCAGAAATAGTAGTTTCTCATTGCCAAATGTAGTTTAGTCAAGTTTGCTAATCCCTCAATGAAAAAATTAGAAAGAACCCTCCTTTTTTGTCTATCTCAGCTATTTTTTTGGAAGTAAAAAAAATAAAAAATATTGGCTACCTCTGATCTCTCCTTTCTTATTAATCTCTTTTAAGGATTTTCTGCCTGCACCTAATTTTTTGCCAGCTTGTATTATCTCTAATTTTTTCTTCATTTTTTTGCAGTTAATAGCCAAAAGCATCACGTACCCATTTTTAGTTGTCTCCACATGCATGGCAACCACTGGTTCTGGGTGAGTTTCAATCATACTTTTTTTCTGTTAGTTCAGGTGTTCAGATTTTTAACTCTTAATTCAACGTCGGTTTGGTTTGACACTCTAGGGTGCTTTCAGTGCCAAATTCTTCATTGAATACTCCTTAATCAATAATTTAATTTCGATTATTTGTGGACTAAGGTTCCTTTTTCCGAGGATGGTGATGAATGTGTGCTGTTACCAAATTTTCGTACGATTCAGGCTTTCTAAGTCGAAAATTAAAGTTTTATTGACTCTTTGAATGTGTCAAGCTTAGCTCAAGACCAACCAACATAGGATAGTCTCTGCTCATTTTTTTCAAGATCTCCTTCCCTGCCCCACTGTAGCCCACATGTTGCAGAATTGGCCCGCTGCAAAATGATCCGAAACTCAATGCATAACATTTAAACTACCTGCGGTCAATGCGTAGTAGTAGTAGTGCCCCAAAACTTGTCTACAGTATTCTCATTGTCAATGACTGACTTGTGTCGATTGATCTTGGTTCAGCTTATAGAGGACTTGAAGTGGAGGGGTTTTTGTCTCAGCTAAATTTTACTCCCTATAGAAATTGGTTTTGTATTGATTTCTGCAACAGAAACTCAAATTTTGAAAACGTTTGAGTTCAGTCTCGAATTTTTGGCCATTTTTTGCAAACAGAAATTCAGAATTAGTTATGATAAGTATGAGTCCTCTCTTACTTCATTTGATCACATATGTGTATAGCTACTTGTATTCGTTTGAAATTTCTTATTCTGATTTACTTTTTTTCCAGGTTACGAGCAGGTTGTCCACCGTTCATGCCTCTGTACCAAAGTTCTATCGAATGTGCGCTTAACTTGTCCAAGAACGGTGATCTCAAACGAGGATCAGGTATCTTCTGGCGGTACTACTCCGGACCTCCAGTTTTCCAAACTCCCAGTGGCCCTGTTTACTTAGGGCCTCTGTAAATTTTAGCTTTATAAAATATGTGTATTAATATTAAGCTAGTCTAAAACAACACTAGCTTTTCATATTGTTGTCCTCTTTTTTAATTTTTTTATTGAATTTTTGTTCCTGTCTGTGGTATTTTCCAATCAATTTTTTTTCTATGTATTGTGTTTATTACTTTTTTTTTTATTCATCACGGATCTTTTTGTTGGAAAATTTTGAGACTTTTAGTCCGCCCTCCTCACTTTCGCATCCAGTGTGGATAAGTTCTAAAGCAGTGACGCGACCAATCAAAAGTTTAGTCAGGTATTGTTGACTCAGTCACTACATATTATGATAGATCTAATAATTACCTATGTATAATAAAAATGTTGTTTTGTAAAATTGTTTGGCAGTTTCCTGTTTTTCCTGTAATAAACACTCAAGAAGTATCTAATTAAATAAGAGATCAACTGCTTTGATATTCTGATATGTAGTAATTTCTGGAGTTAGGGTGTTCTCGATAGAAATAAAAAACAAAATCAAATAGAACAAAATACGCTTTATTTGAATAAACACAACCTGGCTAAAGCCTCATGACAAAAAAAAGCGAGACGCCAGTTGGACTAGCTTGTGCAAAAAAGTTCAATGTAATTAGTTGACAGGCCTTCTGCCAGAAAACTGGGAGTTAAATACTTCAAAAAATTTGCTAAATTGAGAAAAAGTGGACATCAAACAGTTTTGCACAGGCAGCTTTGTTTAAAAGTTATAGGACAGACTGGCACTGGGAAATTTTAAAGATCAAAATAAAATAAGCAGATGTTTATCTAAAAGTAAAGGCGATAGCACATTGGTGCATTCTTTTGAGACAGGTTTTTTATGCACAGTTATTGTTCCAAAAAGTAGTCTGATAAAAATAAACACAACTCAAACAATACAAAAAAAAAAAAAAAAAAAAAAAAACAGGGTAGAAAACCTCTTTTTGTTTTCCGAAAAATATTTCTGATGAGTAAAATGAACAACTTAGATTAGCATTGTCATTACACAAATTTCGATGTCCAAAATTTTAAAGTTAATAATAGTCAACACTGTGAAGGTTAAACATTTTGAGTTTTAGTTAGAATTGTTTCTACTGAGAACAGATCAATGAGAAAGACTTTTCACAAATGAAAAGAACCCAATTAATCTACATCGTTCGGTTTCATCCAAAATTTTGTGTGGTATACTTTGTGTTATATGACCATGGCAAGAGATATAACTACAGTTTCTTCATACAGTTACAAAGAACAGTTCATAGGATGCCAAAATTAGGATTTTCTGGGACTAATTTTTATTGATTTGATATCCAACTTCATTTCAGCACCCTTCTGTGAATTAGGTACATACTGTTTCTTTCTTTCCTCACTATTATTGATGAAAATACTACATTTTTAAAAAACTTGATCGTCTTGAGAGGTTTTGTTTGCTTTTCGGTCAACAGTAGCAATGACACAGAAAATGAGGGCGTTTTATTTGGCAAAAACCTAATTCCGACTACTTGGAAGAGTTACACGAGTTACACCTCCTCTAGCTGTATTAAGATCTGTATTCATAATTGCTGAACACTTCAGGTAATCAACTTAAGTTAAAACCAATAAAAATAATTAAAATAAAAATAACGTTTTACTATGGACTAAAAAATTCAGAGAAGAAACTTTAGGCGGGAAGCTATAGCTGAGATCCGTCTCAATACTACATGAGGGCCTGAATCAGCTTCATCCACTTTCTCAAAAAGTTGTCTTTCCACGCCTCGCGCACCCTCTGAATTTTATAAAAAAAAATCACACATGCTCAATATTTTCAATTTTATCACAATGAAAAGGCGTTCAGAAGGTACAATGGATATCAAAATTGTGTCTGCAAATAAGATAAGCTAATAATAAAATTTCACTGAACGGATATAACATTCCACGCACTTAAGTACTCAGCACTTCATTCCGCATTAAATGCTGCAGTGAAACTTTTATACTAAAAAGTAAAAATTCTGATGACTCAGTTTTGAAAAATGGAAAATTTCTTTGAATTCGGCGGGAGAAAAAATTGCACCGAGACTGAATGGTTTGACCTCTTCGTTTAGGAGGTAAACTTCTTGAATGATATTTTACAAGTTTGATTAATACAGTTAGGTCTTTATTGCACACACAGGGTGTCTACCAAAATTCTCTTTCATTTTTTCCTGACTTTTCAGGTTTTCTTGGATCATTCTGGGTCCCTCTGAATCTAAAGAGATATGATAATGATTACAGTTCAGAACAAAGCACCAGTGCAGATCAGTGAAGGCTCGAATTTACAAAGAGAAAATTCACGACAGACTCTGAGAGAGTGCTGTGCCAAAAATTTATGGAAAAAACAAAATCTTGCAAGGGAGTTGGTGACTCTCCTGGTATGCACCTTTCCTCTCTGACTTTCTCGGTTTCTAAACAGTCTGACACCTCTCTCTACTCACGAACACTCGAGACATCTTTTCTGTCACCAAAATTTGAATAAAGATAATAATATATAGCCTCAACTATGCAAGGAGGGTGATTTACCTTCTGCGTCACTGATTTCTTTTGGTAGATCCATGACGAGAGTTTGACTAAAGGCTTTAGGAACTAATATAAGCACTTAAGGTGCAACGCAACAATTTTTAGCAAAAATGGAAGCAGCAAGAGACGTATAATATTCCTTTTAGTTTTATCTCATCATAATTTTTACTTTCAAAATTCTCTGGATCAATGAATCGCAAAAATAGTTACTTCATACATATATATGAAGATGTCTTTTTAGTTTGAATGTTAAGTACAAAAAATGCGCAAGCACCTTAAAACCTCCCCATGGGTACTCTGTCAATATGTAGACTACCAATTTTATACCAGTAAAAGTACTATGTATAAAATGGGGGTGTAAACAGTAAAAAGTACAATTTTCAATTTTGTAATCTCTCTGAAAAAAGTCTTCGAAGTTTTGCATTTAATATTTAATTTTCACAATTAATATTTTCCGAAGAATCTTGGTTAAAAACTGGAGGTAGATGTGACAAACTCAATGGTAAGCGCATTGGAGCGTTATAATACAGTAATACCCTGAATATCTGGCAATTTGGGGCAGAGCCCTGCTCCAGGTGTCAAAAATGCTGAATGGTTGAAACTACTGGACATCATGAGCAGCAGAAACTCCAAAAAAAAAAAGAAAAAAAAAGCAAAAAATAGCACTGCATAACTGATATTATAATCAGTGGCCAGATGATAAAGGAATTACTGTATATAAATTATGGAAAAGGTAAAGTGAGTCTAGATAAAGAACTTCCACACACTTGCCAACTATTTGTGCACCGTGTGTGGATAAAGCTGATGCTAGTAAAGCCGATCTCTGTACGTCGTATCCATGGCTGCAACAGGTGGCCTTGCATTATTTAGGTTCATATTTGCTTGGTGGTGAGCATGAGCTCTTGCATGCCCTTGCCGACGTGGAGTTATGTACTCAAACATACTTTGAGTATGTTGAGCCAACATTTTGGAGAGATCGCACGGCATTGGGTCTGTCCAGAAAAAGTCGTGATTCAGTGCTGAATCTGAGTCGAAACGCTTACTAGGGTCAAGGATTAGTAATTTGTCTAGAAGATCACAGCCAAAAGGATCCTTGACGTAAGGTTTCAATCTGTCTTTTACCTGCAAAAAAAGATGAAGAGAGTTCATTTTGTGATACTGATTCTGAATTTTTCATGATTTTTCTGATAACTGCCACTGCTAAATCACCTTGAGCACTAAAGAACTGCTTTGTACCATGTACTGCATTCCTTTGTTCATCTCAAAAAATTTACCACAAAAACACTAATTTTCCACAAATTTTTTCTTTGAGGAAAAATCCTATTTTGAAAGAGGAGAAACATCAAGATTTGCCGTCTTCGTTTGGGCTGATTTTTTTTTTTTTTTTTACAAATTTATTGAAGCAACTNCCCCCCCCCCCCCAAATACACCACAGAAGTGAATACATTTTTAAAAAGTGTATTTTCAGATGCTGCTTTTGTTCTCGGAAAGTGGTTCTGATCAAGAGTCCCAGGATATAGCTTTTGAAATAATCTCTTTTTTATTGTGAAGCAGAGCTCAATTGAAATTACAACTTGTGAGCATTTTTTATGCCATCCCTACAGCATATGGCAAGATGATAGTATAAGTTTAGTTCTTAAAATATAAACTTACTTTTCTTTTTTGATTCTTGGCTAACTGCATTGTCTGAAACAGCGGCAAGCTTTCGACACCAGGCCAAACTTCTGGCGTTATCGAGCCGCAAAGTTGACAAATTAGAGTGAGCTGTTGTTGTTCAGAATTTCCTTGCATAATTGGCGACCGTGTCCACATTTCTGCCATGATACAACCAGCTCCCCATAAATCAACTGGTGGGCCATAGTTGCGATCACCGAGCAATAATTCTGGTGGCCGATACCACAAAGTAACCACTCGGTTTGTGTACCTTATGGAAAAAAAGAGCATTGATAGGATCAAATGATGAGAACAAAATTATGAGATACTTGGTTTAATTAATAATTCCAGAATCCAATGCTTATACTACAAACCTTCAGGATTGAAAATATTGATAAATCTTTAACAAAGTGATTATTTTTCGGAGTTAAACGAAACAAACTTGATTTCGTCATACATAACATAAATTAATGAGATTAATGACAAGACTTGAATGTAATTGAATCTTGCTTTTAGCATAAGAACTCTACATTAATTACTTGTATTGTCTACCAAATAAATGTTTGAAAAGATTGTAAGGGGCAGCATTTTTTTAGGACTATGCAACTAACTTGCTGCTTTTCAGGTACTTCATCAGACAGCATGCATTGGAAAATATGAGATAAAATCTAATGAAAAGTCTAAAGGAAAGGCTACAACTTACTTGTTCGGTGCATCTTTCTTTGCAAGACTAAAAGGTCTTGCTAATCCAAAATCAGCTAATTTTAGAATACCAGATTTAGTTATCAAAACATTCGCAGCTTTCATATCTCTGTGAAGTATCTGGCAGAAAAAAATGAAATTTATGAAACCTCCTGGGGATGAACAATTAAATCAGAGGGGGGAAAAAACAAGTTTCTACAATTGTCACAAATATCAGCAGCTAAGGCAGTAGCTAATGCACCAGTTATATTACCATTCTAACGAAAAATGTTGTATAAACATTTTAATGTTGCCAAATCTTTCTTGATGAAATGCTTGAAAACTTGTGAACTGTTTTCATCAAAATTTTTAGAGAATTTTCCTCACAATTCATTCTAGCGCCTGACAATTCTAAGGTGAAATAATCAGTTTTCGTCGAATACAATTATTTCACTTGGGAAAATTTGGTGACATATGAATGTTCATGCAAAACTTATCCTCAGCACGGCAGTCTTGCTGAAATTAATATTATAGTTTTCAAAGTTTGCACTAAATTAATTCAAGATTTTTAAGAGGAAAGAATGGAGAGGAACCATAATTTCATACTGAATAAGTTTTCACTTACTGGCTTTTCCATTTTTGGAATGAACACTAATTTTTTATTTTATAGTATTCAATTCTCATTATAATGGCGCTGGTAGACACAAAACTGTTTACCGTTTCTGAACTTACCTAGGCTTTTTGAAATAAAAACAAATTGGACAGAAATAATGGACTGCCTACAATCCTTGGGTAGTTCTAAACTAGGAAAATTTAGCACCCTTGTTTTTTGAAGCTGAAAAGAGACACTTGAGGCGCCTAATGTCAAAACCTGCAGCCTCCATTGTAGTGTGTGAAAAGTTGGCAATCATTTTTGTTAATTTTAAAAAGAGTAGGAGAGTTTTCATTGGCATACTTCCTCAAAAATTTTCTACATGTTAGTGAGAAAATCACGACAGTATTTTATGCAGGCAGTCTTATTCATAATTCCTTTTAGAAAATTAAAATAACTGCCAAATTTTTAGACACTGTAATGAAGATTACAGGTGTTGATGGGAGGCACCTTACTTCTTCTAATATCCCTTAGTTTGAAAGTGATGCACTTTAAGTAAAACAGACTATTTTATCTAATTTTTTCCCCTTTTTTAATTCCATGCATTTTTTGACACTGCCATTTAATTCGATTAATCACTCACCTAAATCAGTAGAATTAATATAATAAAATAAGGAAAAAATAAATCAAAGCACATCTTTGGATGTGAATGTTCAAAATTTAAAATTGCCTAGTCCCCGACGTAAATAGCCTAGATGCTGATCGTCGTTAAATAAAATTAACTAACTAACTAACTATTTTATCAAAACTCAAATGCATTACCTGTATCAGAGATCCAACAGAGATTTGATAAAATAACATTATGTCTTTTAAATATTTTACAACAAAATGCATGTTTTGGTTTATTCTTTCCTCATTTTATTAGTTACATAATAAAGCAAGATGTGCTTCTCGAATCAAAGAATTTATATACTTTCAAAAATTACAATTGAGAAATGATGGATGTATACAAAAAGATTCCAGTAAATGCTTACCTTGTTACTATGAATGTAATAGAGACCATCAAGCATCTGTTTCATGACTTTTTTTATCTCTCCAAGGCTGAATTTGACATTGACATTGGAAAGGAGACCAGCGAGGTCATGTTCACAAAACTCGAATATCAGGTAAAAGGTTGGACGAAAACGATTTTCAAAAGTGCCTGAAAGAGAACTGGACACATAAGAGTAGGAAATTGGGAGGGGGGGGGTCGGATCCCTAGATAAGGTACAAATTCGAGCACTCTGATATATATTTCTTGTTTGTAATTTGATCTAAAGTCTATGAAAATTTCAAGGAAAAACATTCATAACTTGTATCAAAAATAAACACTTTACTGGGGGAAATTTGGGAACTCGCAAATGTTCATACAGCGTTCTTCTTTGGCACAGCAAAGTTGGACCCATCACAAGCCCAGTGCAGCTTGTTTTGTCTTGACAATTTGCAATCCGTTCATGTTAGCAGGGCCTTGCCAGGACCTCAACAGAGCTTTTGGAATAATAACTAGACGACGGTTTGCTTGCTGCCACAACCGTATACCCATTACTTGCTTTTGTTTCCATAAATACTCTGAAAGGAGGCAGGTTGACATCACAGCCTGCACTGTACTGATGATGAATCCAACTAAACTCAATTTGCAGTTGCCTCACTGACTGATCGTAACTAGTGTTGCACTAAACAGTTTTTGGAGAGATGATTAGGTATTGTGCTTGAGATTTTTTCTCTTTGTCGTAAGATTTTCAGGTTTATACTGAATTTTGACTCATGATGGCATAATCACAATCTCTGTTTGGGTGACTTGCGAGTTGAACCAAATTCTGTTTTTATTAACTCATTAACATTAAGAATATTGTGAATGCTTACTTTCAATGAAATTAGAATTCAAAAAGTAACTAATACATATAAAAAGAAAGTACCTTTAGTTCTGCAGATTTCCAAAAGATTCACTACATTTTCATGTTTCAGAAGTTGCAGGATTCTAATTTCTCTCAAGGCAGTAAGAGGGAACTAGAAAAATGAAAAAAAACTTCAGATTTGAGAAAAGTTGTGAGCATTACGGCTTGTTACATTCAAAAGATTTTTACAATGTGAGATAAAAAGCTTTGCAAGGAAGGGTGCGCTTGTTTAGATGAAACAAATTAAGCAATGAGGCATGGTTGACTCATTGATAACACATAAAAGATGCTTTGTTTCAATCGCAGGATACTATTTTTGACAACATCGGATATTGATCTTAACATTCATACATACTTGATTTTTTCTTCAAGAAAGTTCTACCAATAAATTTTGGAGTAGATACAGAGATAAAACAAAGCACTGAAAGATAGATATTAATGATCAAGGGAATAAGATTTTTCGGTCTTCGGCTACTCATGATGCAACAACAAAAGTTGAGATATTAGCTGACTTTACAAATGTCTACAATGATTGTGACTTACGCAATGCTCTATTAAAAAAAAACATGCTTCAGCATGGCCTGAGTCGCAATCATTGCATTTTGTAAAGTCGGCTATGAGCTCAACTTTTGTTTTTGATCAAGGTAATATTAAGTACATTGACTTGTTTTCAAAAGTATAGAGGGTTTTTGAAGTTCCAGTACTTCCCTTTCACCTCCTATTACAATTAGTGAATTATCAAGATTCTGTCATATAAGTTCTACTTACTCCTTCCCTCTCATTATCCATGAGGATTTTCTTCATTGCAACAATTCTTTTTTCATCATTTCTATCTTTCGCTTTAAAGACCTCCCTAAAAACAGAGAAAAAGAACAGTTAGACTTGTTACTAAGGTAGCAAAAATTTAGATTACATAGTTGGTTTGAAAAAAATACAAAAAGGAAAAAAAATGAAAGAAAAGACAGAGACATTAGCTGAGGAATAAGTCCATAAGGCCTTAGAACAGGATTCATAGAAAACTCATGGCTTTGGTCTTACATCAGGGGTGACGGCAGCAGCGTTTTTGCCAGAAAATTAGTAGTTGGGCTTAGGAAGAAGGGTGCGCCTCCCTTTCTCAGAAAAAAATCCTCTAATGACAGCAGAACTAGGTCAGTTGTAATGCAAATGCTTATCATTATTTATGGTATGACAGCAGGCAATTCAAAAATATTGCAGCAAAATTTACAAAATGGCAAGGCAATATCTATTTCAGGGGCAAAAAACTGCTTCCGAAAATAAAAAATAATCATCATGATTTTCTTTTGTGAGCTACAACACTTGGCTACTAATATGTGCTTCATATCAAACCATCAATAAAATGGACATATTTCTGTTAAACGGAACTAAGCACCAATTTGAGTTCCTTTTGAGGATTTTGGAATCCCGGATAGGACGTTCTATCAAACGGAACTAAGCGCCATGGAAAAGCATTGCGATTATAGGACGGAACGAGCATCGCGTTCCGTAACACCCGCCAATCCAAGCCCTCCTCCTTTCCTCCCCCTATGGCGCTTTGTTCCGTTTGATAGAAATACGTCCAAGTGTAGGAATGAATTATGTATATCTCTAATGATTCAAGGCCGCCACTGTTTGCGATGCGTAAAAAAGTTATTTTCAAATACATGACACAATTGGGCAAAAAGATGCAATCCAAAAATCTAGTATTGCGTTTCAAAAAACTGATCAGAGACAGTTTCTTTCTTACATGATCGACAGCAAAAAATCTCATGATATTTTTCCTTTCGATATAATGAATAAGATGGATGAAAATACCCAATATCTTGTCCCCCTGCCCATCAGCACAGATGTTTATTATTTCCTCTTTTTTGCCATCTGATAGGGTGAATGGCCTTAAAAACACTTTTTTTGTTGAAGTTTCCATGACTGCCAGTTCTTGAGATCGTATTATTATTGAAGATTATGCCTTGGGGTTTGACGAAGCTGCCTTACGATTTTCCTGCTAGAAAAAGGGATTCCATCTGAGAAAAATGGCCCTTGACAAAATATGCAGCTCTTTACCCCTACTTACCTACCCAACAATAAATAGAAAAGAAAATTCTGACAAATTTGCGACTCACCCAAATGTTCCTTGACCTATTTTAGTGAGTTTTTCATACTTGGAGGCTTCATCACAGAATTTGAAATCGTAATTTTCAATATACTTTTGTTTTTCTTTCGCTGATAACATATGAGGAGTTTGCGGAGGAGTTGCAGAAGGAGTGAGCGAGGCAGGGAAAGGTAATGTTGGGTTTGGTGGGTTCACAGGCTGATTAGGATGATTGTATTTTTGGTGACTGTAGCTGTCATGACTGACTCTGCTTTGACTTCCACTTGGTGCAACTCTACTACCAGACTGTCCTGCGGAGGGCTTTGCTATCATTTCAAATAACTGGAAGAGAGCAATTACACAAAAATAAGTTAGCAGCAGTTTGAGATGTAACGATAAAATGATGAAAAACAGGGTTTGATATGTTTTTGGCATCTCCCTTTTACAGGAGAGAAGATTCCGTACATGGTGCTACGGAAATCAAAAATTAGATTCAAGCACAGATTGTTGCAATTATCACCTAAGGGTGTCCTTCCAGGTTATGATAAGCTTGCATAAGAGAATATTGACAATGTGAGATTCCACAAGTAGCAATCATTACCCGGGTCAAGCAAAAATAGGCATAACTACAAATCAGTACGACAGGCTATTGAATCCGAGCCTGACATATGGTACAACAATCGTTGACGTGAAGTTAGTCGATTTTCAACAGCTAACCGGAGGTTTGTCTTGAATCCTAATATTGTACATTTCATTTAACCATACAATTCGTGAGAGATATTTCATACTAAAGTATGTTGCAACCCTGTAAGGTTTCCGCAAAAAGCCTCACTTCGTACGTATACAGCTCACATGAATGAATAATTTTGAGCAAGGGAAAAGAGCAGGGGTAAAATGAAGTGTTGAACCCAAAATTATTACGGAATATTTAGATTCTAAGAGAGGAAAAAATAGCCAGGACGGAGGGGAATACAGCGTTGAAGTGAAGTTTCAACATAAAGGAACTCAATGTCTAACATTTAAGATCTACTTAAAATTTTGGTCCTGCTAGTCTAAAGCAGACAAAACATTATACTCACCTCTTTGTTCCGTTATTCGTCAGGTATAAGTTGATTCAAACTTGGACAGAAAACGTTATTATTTGGTAAATTAATTCATTTGTAAAAGCTAACCATTGTTAGATTATCACTTATCACATACTTGAGGAAATTTGAGGTTATGTTCAATGCACGTGTTTTGTTTACAAAAAGTCATTCAAGCATACCAACGTCATGGATCGAGATTTTCTTGTCACCACGTTGTGTACCAACTCAACACACATGTCTTGCAAGCGCGCCGTTCAAATTAGAGCTATTGGAGGCGGCAGGACCTAAAAAGATGCCGTTAAATATTCTAGGTGGCGGTAGCCATCCCGGCCCAATCCTAAAAAACTCCCCCAAACAATTTGACGACCAAAAAAAAAAAAAAAAAAAAAAAAAAAAAAAAAAAAATTACATATTAGATCGATTTTGTAAATTGTTGGTGCTGGGACCCCTAATAGAGTACACTCCTAATCCATCTCCGCTCTATGGAGATATCATCATAGGTGGTTCTAAACCTCCATGCGTGAGCGTGGGGGGGTACCTTTGGTGGTGATGGTGGGGGGGGGGGGGGGGGGTGCCGGGAGGAGCCCAACAATTGGAAAATGTTCTCTTTCCTTTCCGAGAATGCATTTGATGCGAGAAACAGGGACGGATTGGCGCCGAACAAGTGGCTAGGCATACCGTCCCACTTAAGTTGTTTTTTGAACTTCGAAGGAAGCAAACCATCCCAAAATCACCTTGCATACTTACATTGACCGGCAGAGCCGGTTCTAGGAGGTGGCCACATGGGCCGCGGCCCATGGCGACAAATTTTGACTCTTTTTTAAACGTAGGTATAAAAAATCGGATTCAGAAAAAAATTGCAAACGAGAAAAGGCGACAAAATCTCTCATTTCCTGAGAGTGTAATAATTTCTAATTTTGTCGTCTTCCGGCGATACAAGAGGCAGCACCTTTATTAGTCGAGTTAAGAGAGAAACCAAGCACCCAATTTGGCCTGGAACGGCGCGGCGCGGAGTGAAATGATGACGAGGACTTGAAATTGAAAGGAACAGCCCTCGGCGCGGCGGTCGGCGCGTTACACATATTAGCGCCCACAAGACTGCATGAATACTTCACGCATTGCGTCAAACACAGTGCGGCCAGCAGCGGTCGGCGGGAAACGCATGGCGCCTACAAGAGTGCATGAATACTTCACGCATTGCGCCAAATACAGTGCGGTCAGCGCGGCGCGGCAGCGGAAGTTAAAATTATTAAACCACATTTAGGTTTTTCACATTTTTTTGCAAAAAATGTGTCCGACACGAGTAAACGTGTCTTATGCAACCCGCCCCCTCCGGCACGTTCACTTGAAGGTTTTTATTAAAGTTTCAGATCGAATAGGGCGGCAAAATACAGGCAGGCGGCCCATGGGTGGCAAGTAGGTAAATCCGGCCCTGTTGACCGGCTAACCGGGATTTTTCCTCGGTGCCTCCGTTTGCTGGTCCGTTTGCAACATGAACGCAATTTCAATCATTGGCTTTCATAGTCTTCTAGGTTTGAAACTTTGTTAAAATCTACCATAAAACTGCTGTCAAGTTCTCGATCAGTTCGGCTTATATCTTTAAAAAAATTCAGAATGTATCAGACTTTATTGGGAAAATAAAATCCAAAAAATGAAGCAAATGCGGTTTTACAATAATTGATTAACTGTGAAATTATAATTTTTTAACGTTTTCTTTTAGTAGAAAATGTGTAGCAAAAATCTCAGTTCGTATAACAATCTTATGGTAAAACTCGGTAAAATTATCGTAACACGGCGATGAGCAAGAATTCTGTTAACCTAAAGGGTCTCTATCTAAGGTGCCAGGTTTTTTCAATGTGAGTGTTATAACTACTCACCCCCTCCATGGACTAGCCAGTTCCCGTTGCCCAGGCCGTGAAATGTGCAGTCAGTCCACAAACTGCAGTCAAAAGTCAGAAATTTCGCCTATAGATGGGCGGTTGTTAATTTTAAATGCCATCTATTCGCTAATCGACGAATGTCCCTGACAAAAGCTAGACTGAGTTGATTACGGCGCCTTGATACAACTATATGTGCTCCACGAATGTGCGTGTTGCTCATTCACAAATTGAAGGCGCTCCCACTTTTCTAACTTCTTCAGAAAAGCACGGGACTTGTCAGTAGTAGCACCGGAATAAGATAGTATCCATGTCGCCGGTGAAAGTCCGCAACCTCGTATAATTATTTTGGAACACCGTATTTTGCAGGAGAGCGAATAAACTGTCGATCCGCATTCCTCGCCTTTGAAAAGTACGGAGGGGAAATAATTCGTGAGTATAGTAAGGATAAGATGCTTTTTAAGTCTCTATAAGCATTTTGAATGTTGTTCCCTTCTGTCAGAAAGGATCGAAAAACCGAGGCACAAGTTCTTGTAGCTGAGGGTCAACGCGGTCCATTAATTACTTACGTCTAAAATTACCGTATCAAACCTATTTTTTTGCCAATTTTGACTGAACGAAAAGACTCAAGATAAACTTTAACAGGACTGTGTGTACTCTATTTACTGCCTTGGAAGGTTTCGTTGCGGTCCCACAGCTGGACCCTGGTAAAAATTGGCAGTAGAATCTGTGCTCCAAAATACCATAGACCTACAGCCAGCTGTAAGATTTCCAATAGTTTCTATAGCTGGCAACTCAATTTCTTATAGCCATTTATAGCCGATGGCGATTAAGCAACAGCCTGGCGATAAAGTGTATGCTAAACGTTACTAATTACGGATGCTAGGACTTAGTGAGTTTTTGGACTACCGCTCTCTTTTTGGGCCGTAGTATCTTGATTTATTTTGCGAAGAAAGCTCCGTACTTTTGAAGGATACCTGCCATTTCTAATATGTTCGAGCGCCTACAATTTCGTATGATACTGTGCAATACCTCTGGTGTGAAATAGTTGCTTCAAGCGCCGCGGTACGCTCCGGCGCGGCGGGCGGGCAGCCAGCGCTGAACGCGCATTGGCGCCTACAGACCCAACAGGGATACTTCACGCATTGCGCAATGCGTGAAGTATCCCTGTTAGGTTTGTAGGCGCCAGTGCGCCGTCGCTCCGCTTTGTGTTGACATTGTTAAAGATTACGTTGTCTTCCCTTCTGCGGAGGATGCATCTTAATTAACTTCGGTGGGGGTTGGGTTGCATCGCCAAATTTGAAGGCGAAATAGCGGCGATTTTGTTTACTTCTATACCAATCCTTAAAAAAATATGACAGCATCAATTCAATATATAAGTGCAAAAGAAACTCAAGGAACAGGGACTGTTCAAAATTTAATTTTCCAATTTTCAGAAAATTATTGAGATCATTTTCGGTTTCAGCAACAAAAGGATATGGGGGCCACCCCTCTTAACAGCTGAGTAATCAGCTGTAATAACACCGAGTTTTTTATGGCATCCGGTGATCCACATTTTTTACAACGGACGTTGTTCCATCCCCTGGTAAAAATTGGCGATAGGAGCTGCGTTTCAAAATACCGTAGGAGTTCTTATAGCCGATTGAAGAAGGCGATAGAAAATCATATAGCTGGCTGTAGAAAGTGGCAAAAATCATACATCCGGGCTACACGAAGCGATAAAAAATTATACAGCCGGGCTTTAGTTCCTATCGCCTGGCTGTTGCTTTTTAGCCATCGGCTATAAAAGGCTATAAGAAATTGTGTAGAAATTCGTGTGCTTTGTAAATCCTTAAGTTTGTACGAAATCACCTTAATATTGACAAAACGCACATTATATTTTCCTTTACTACATATTTTTTTTCATCATTTAAAATGAGAATACTCCATACAGAGTGTGCACACATTTCAAAGTCATGAGTTGAAAAACGCTGCCTCCACGAGATTAAATACGAGCATCCAAAAAGTAAGTTCACCCCTTTCATATCTCCGAAACTAAAAGGGATAAATCAAATCGGTAAAAATGGACTTCTTACTTATATCTTCAGCTCTCCATAGGTACCAAGATTTTTAAATTTGGACCACTGGTTGCCGAGATATTCGATTTTTACGTGAACAACTCCCGGCCAGTTCCGTCCACCAAACGATGCGCTGCGATTCCCGTCACGCTACCTGAATTGACTGTGTTCCCCACACATCTACGTAGGAATAACCAACTCAAATATTCTAAGATTGGCTTTAAAACAATCTTACCTTATTTTTCGACGTAATTTCCGTTCCTATAGATGCATTTTTCATAGCGTTTCTGAAGCTTCTTAATGCCGTTCTCAAAGAACACTTTTGGTTGACTCTTGAACCAGCCATTGACTGCTTCCATCACTGATCGTTCTCGAAGCGCTGGCCACCTAGGTGCTTCTTAAGTTGCGGAAAAATATGATAGTCACTCGGGGCAAGGGCTGGAGAGTATGGAGGATGAGTTGACACCTCCCACGCAAATTTGTCCAACAAATTTTGGGTCTCTTTCGCCGTGTGAGGTCTGGCATTATCGTGAAGGAATAGGGGACCACGAGACAAGATACCCGGTCGCTTGTTTCTTATTGCCAATCGCAACGAATTCAATATTCCACAATACCGTGGTGCATTGATTGTACACCCTTTCTCCAAATAATGGACGAGAAGTACTCCTTGAGAGTCCCAGAAGACAAAAGCGACGCGACAGCGCGCGGTGCATCTCATATCAGCGCGTCGTTTGGTGGACGGAACTGGCCGGGAGTTGTTCACGTAAAAATCGAATATCTCGGCAACCAGTGGTCCAAATTTAAAAATCTTGGTACCTATGGAGAGCTGAAGATATAAGTAAGAAGTCCATTTTTACCGATTTGATTTATCCCTTTTAGTTTCGGAGATATGAAAGGGGTGAACTTACTTTTTGGATGCTCGTATTTAATCTCGTGGAGGCAGCGTTTTTCAACTCATGACTTTGAAATGTGTGCACACTCTGTATGGAGTATTCTCATTTTAAATGATGAAAAAAAATATGTAGTAAAGGAAAATATAATGTGCGTTTTGTCAATATTAAGGTGATTTCGTACAAACTTAAGGATTTACAAAGCACACGAATTTCTACACAATTTCTTATAGCCTTTTATAGCCGATGGCTAAAAAGCAACAGCCAGGCGATAGGAACTAAAGCCCGGCTGTATAATTTTTTATCGCTTCGTGTAGCCCGGATGTATGATTTTTGCCACTTTCTACAGCCAGCTATATGATTTTCTATCGCCTTCTTCAATCGGCTATAAGAACTCCTACGGTATTTTGAAACGCAGCTCCTATCGCCAATTTTTACCAGGGGATGGAACAACGTCCGTTGTAAAAAATGTGGATCACCGGATGCCATAAAAAACTCGGTGTTATTACAGCTGATTACTCAGCTGTTAAGAGGGGTGGCCCCCATATCCTTTTGTTGCTGAAACCGAAAATGATCTCAATAATTTTCTGAAAATTGGAAAATTAAATTTTGAACAGTCCCTGTTCCTTGAGTTTCTTTTGCACTTATATATTGAATTGATGCTGTCATATTTTTTTAAGGATTGGTATAGAAGTAAACAAAATCGCCGCTATTTCGCCTTCAAATTTGGCGATGCAACCCAACCCCCACCGAAGTTAATTAAGATGCATCCTCCGCAGAAGGGAAGACAACGTAATCTTTAACAATGTCAAAACGAAAGCCGTTTTTTGGTCCTGAAAGGACACATCATTTAGATGACGCAAGGACAATAATGAGAGCCAACAACATGAACATTAAAATAACAAGCGTGATTATTCCTTCTATTACCATAATTTTAATAGTTTATAAAACCATAATATTAACAGTTTGTAAAAAAGCGGCGTTTAAGGAGCTGCGAAGAGTTGTTCAAGTTTTGAAAAAAAAAAAAAAAAAGCTTCAATGAGTGGAAGAGAAGAAAAATAGTCTCATAACGTCCAGATTTTATTTATTTGTATTATATTTTGAAATTGGACATACATGTTTTATTCAAGTAGTATGGGCATCTGTTGCCTGATTATGATGAAGAAACCGCTGAGAAAAATGACACGTTGCAAGTTTCACAAGTCGCATCAATCGCTTGCAAAACAATTTCTGCCCACACTACTGTGATCAATTCTTGCCACAAGTAGATTTGCCTGTTACGAAAAAGTATTTGCTACGGTATGTAGGTACATACAATTATAATAAGTTTATAATTTTAGGGGAAGGAGGGTTATTACGAGAAAAAAGTTCCATAGCACAATTGAAAGTGATGGTACAAGTACAAACTGCTTACAAGATTGCAAAATCGAATGTGGGATTTATGGCGATTATGACACGTATTTGTTTCTTAAAAAAAAAGACAAAAAGATTGGGCTATTTATCCTGAAGGATGCCAAAGCTATAGAGGAAGCGTAATTTGTCAAGAGCACTATAAAATTTTTATTGACCTAACATCATGTCGACGATTATTTTAATCGCCAGAACTGCGGCTTCTAGGTATACACTTATGAGCCCGGAGAGGAGTAATTTTACAGAGGACACTTGGAAGCGTCATACGCAAAAAAATAATAATGTGAACGTTTTCACTTGTTCAGCTACTAGCTGTCAAAGTGATTGAATACATCGTAATTCTAAAATTAGTTTTGATTACAAATTAAACACGTACATACATACATATAAGTATACAAAGGCACCAATCAAATAAATATGTATATCTAGTTTATCAAAATGAAAATTATAAAGATCACAGTATAGACAAACGGTAAAATGTGATGTTTCAATAGTATTCGTACAATTTGGATATTCTAGCGGTGGGTTAAATCTGACTCAAACAATTTAAAATTTTTACACGTGAACATTTTATTGAAAAACAATTAAAATAGCTTTCGCTTTAAAGGTAGGAATCTCTGATCTTTACAAATTTCATTAACAGCGAATATGTTTGACGATTAAGAGCGTCTCCCACTAAGATAACAGAAGCTGAATTATTTAGAGCGACCGTCACCGTATAACTATTGCAGCGTAAGGCTAAATGCATCGTCGGAATCAAGGACTTTTTTTTTGCCAATTTAGATGGTATTTTATCAGCTTCAAGTTACTCTAGAGGCATATACATATTTACAAAAACGTCAAAGCTATATACACGGAATAATAGAGGTAGGGCTCAAGACCCAACGTGATTAGGGAGCTTAAAATTAATTGTGGTATAGTGCCCCAATTAATTAGGTTACTAACCCACTGTTTCGGTACTATCCCCAAATTGAGTTGTGGTACTACCACAATTAATTGTGAACACCTACATTATTCAATAAAATGGGTTAGTACCACAATTTTAGGTGATTACCCCTACCTACCTCTTTTTTCTGTGTACCTATATCTCATTATGCGAGAAAGTTCATGGGATTAAGGACTTGTCTTTAGGGTGAAAGTGTGACAGGTAATACAATTTGGACTGCATTTTGCAATTTGGAACTATAAATTCTGGCTCTTCTGGAAAAACACTCATGTGCGAAGGGAAACTAATGGCACATACGTTGTTTTTAAACCGGACCGGACTTTATAGTTCCTAATTACAAAATGCAATCCATTTGTTCTGCTGCTTGTGCTCGGTGCTTTTAGAGGGACCTGAGAAGACATGATGACTGGTGGGTATGGTCGCGAAGAGCCCCTCCTTTACATTTTTGAAATGTTAACATGTGAAACATTTACTTTGAGGAAGTTTTTAAACAACATACCTGATTTAACTCTAGTTTGATGGATTCAGGTCGTAAAACTCCTGAAGTATATTTCAGATGAGAATGCATTATAAATGGGAAGGAATTTAAGTTGAGGGAAAAGAAGAGGAAGAGGAAAAAGAGTAAAAGGAGATAAGGAGAGAGAGAATGAGGAGGAGAAGAAGAGGAAGAAAAAAAAGAAAAAGACGAATAGTAGAAATAATAATAACAAGAGGAGGAAAAGCAGTGAGAAGAGGATGATGAAGATGAATAGGAGGTGAAGAGAGGCAGAAGAGGGGAAAAAGGAGAGGCAGAAGAAGGAGTAGGAACAAATAAAAAAGAAGAAACGGAAGAAGAGGTAGGAGAAAAGTAGGAAAATGTGAAATAGAAAGAATAATTTCCATCTCTTCTCCTTCGGCGTTCCTCTTTCCCCTCTTCGTTTTCGTCTTCCGATTTGGAAGACGGAGACTTGCGCAGCAAAAAGACCTGAGTCTCTTATTAAGATTTAATACTAAAACTAACTTAATACTAAAACGATCCGTCCGATCGTAACATCACAGATAAACGCATCGAGATGCTTAAAGTCACCGTAGAATGACAGTCGAAGAGAGACCATCGAGAGGTATAGCAGTCGTTCCGTATGGAAGGAATCAGGCGTTGGCCGAGTGTTTCCTTTCCTCGAGGGAAATTTTGATGCCACCCTCGTTTATGAGAACCAGTTCTGCGTACATTTTGAGGTCCGTCGATCGCATGGTCGTTGAAAGCTCGTACGCTTCAAGTATTTTGATCAGGATTATCTTGACGACCAGCATAGCGTACTTTTGACCTGCAAGAGAGTGAACCTGTTACTAAGATGCATTGTTTTACGCGAATTACACCTTGTACAGTGTGATTCGCGTGATCGTACGGGACTTTTGTACCATTCCAGAGGGATCCCCTTAAAATCTTAGGGTCCGAAAAGTCGTTTTCTTTGACCTATAGGTGTACACACAAAATTTTGAATCTCTGTCTCAATTTCTTCAAAAGCTACAAGCTGGTGATGCGTGGTGCTGCCAATTCGGGACTTTGTAATTACCTCGCATTAAGTACAATTGAGGCTTAGGATCAGAACAATTTTCCAATTTTTAATGTAACTGAGTTAAATATTGTATCCTCATGGAATTTTCTGCGTTCTTTTCAAATATGAACCCCGTTTGGATCAGAAGCGACCTACAAAACCAACGCTGAAATTTAATACTTCGAATTGACTTTTAGCTTCTTTCGATGTGCTCAACATCATTCGTATGCGATTTTATTATAATATTAATTATGAGCATCTCAATTCACGTGAGCCCTGTTGTCTGCACAATTTTATGCTTTTTGGGGGCAGTTGAAAATAGAGATACGCTCTTACGTAATAAGAGCGACGTTGTGCGAAATCGGCTCATTAAATTAAAGGGTAACTTGTTTTTTTGGTGGTCTATTAAATTGAAACGCAAGTAGATAACAGTCTACATAAAAGTATACAAAGTCTAGATATCGAGACTTTGAAATTAACAAATTAAAATGCTTACCGATACAATTTCGCGATCCTGCGCTGAACGGAACGTAAGAAAACGGATGTTTGTCTGCGGTGTTTTCGGACAAGAAGCGGTCTGGGTTGAATGAGGTGGGGTCAGCGTGATGCTTCGGATCCATGTGGATTGCATGGAGAATCGTCAAAATACGAGTTCCCTCGGGTAGATAGTAATCATCTGTAAGTTTGTAAAAGAAATTATTATCAACCATTAAATATATCTGCTATGCGTTGCTATGTAAAATTTTGATCTCATTATAAGCCCCCCTCTTTGTTTACACAAAGCGCTCTTATAGCTAGTGACGATGACGAATTTCGTCATAACGCCTGGATGCAATTATTCGAGCTCCAAGGATGTCCATGTAGCATATGCGCGAGGATGAAGGCGTTTTGACTCTCTAAGCACTTAACGCTTCACCCACAGCGCTAGTGTGCAGCACTGCGGAGATCAAGAAGCACAGAACGCCTTTTTAACTTGGTTTATACCACAAAACATCTTCTTGGCACAAATAGTCGATCTGCAAATGATGATCGGCACATGGCGCTATCAAAAGTAAAGCAAAAGAAAAAACTCGGTCCCTACGTCTGTACGTGCAACTAATAGTGCCTAAGAGATGTCTTTGTAATATAAACAAAGAGCTGAAGGTGCTCTATTCTTTTGGACCAGAGCAGTACAGCTCACCCTATAGCGCCGCCGCCGTGAGTGAAGCGGTGAATACTTAGAAAGTCAAAACGCCTTCATTGCCATGCGTATGCAACATGCACTGACATATATGGAGCCCGAATAGTCGCATACAAGCGTTTAAAGAAAATTCGTTTGCTTTTTGTTGTATGTCATAGGAAGTGAGGACACTTTCTTTGTTCTTCTTATACCTTAGTTTAATTCCAGCGTTGCTCACTGTATCAATAGAGTCTATTACTAAATTTTAGCGTGACATTGTCAGTTTTCCGAAATATGCTTTGATTGTTTATGTATGCATCACAACATTGTTGCTCTCCAAAAATGTGCACTGCGGCCCTTATACTCTAACTGGCCTAGGGACGACGAATGCATCGGAGTCGTTTCGTGGACAATTAAGGTAAGACCCATTTCTGGTAGAAAAAATTGACGGTAAACTCCTAAACCACGTACCTCATTTGCGGTGTTTAAAAATCTCCGCTTTTATTTTATTTTTTGAAAGTAGAACAAATCAATACCTTTTATTGACGTTTTTTCAGAATTTACTACGCACAGAGAAGAACACGGGAGTTATTGAGAATCAACGTTGAGTATTTCTCAATTTAAAATATATGACAGGAAGTCTGCAACGTCGCAAACCGAGATACGTGGTTTGGGAGTTTCACCATCGGTGTATTAAGTACAAGCGACTTACTGATTTTGAGAGGCACATTTGCTGTTCTTGCAATGAGAGGGACCGGCGTATACAATCTCATGACTTCCTTCACACAACGATCTAAGTATTCTAGCTTGTTTATGCTGCTCACTGAGAATGGGTTTTCCGTAGATGCTGATACTGCCGCGAATTCTTCCAGGATTTTCTCCTGCAAAGTGATTGAAATTGATGTTTCATTGATATAGCATTACTTCAAATACCTCAAAAGCACTTTATTTCACGATAGGCGTTATAGGTTTAGTTCCATATTCCCTCGTCAAAATCATGTTCCCTATAATGATCATAGATACGGAAGGAATCGTGATCGAAATCCATACGCATTTTTTGTTGGTCTTTTCTATTTTTGTCAGGATTCATGATAAATTTGGAAGATGTTACCGTCTTGTTATTTCTGATCTCCTAATTAGTAAAAAAAAATAGTACAAAAACCAGGAGATTAGGAATAACAAGAAGGTAACATCCTCAAAAAATCCATACGGTCTTCCATAAGGAACCGCTTTCAATATAAATAATCAGTACTGCAGAGGTAGATTATTCGAGTGAAAGAACGGTTAAGCTCTCGGCTCTCTCGGGACCATTTCTAAAATGCCTCTGGTTTTTCCTTTTACGAATTTACACAATTTTAATGTAGTTTATCTTGTAAAAAAATTGTCAGAAATGCACAAGTAGATTTTCACTGAAATTGACTCTTTTAAATGATTGTGAGATATTCTGCACCTAGTATTATTTTAACATCTTATTCAACAGTGTTTGGGCCTTACTGTCGTGTTTTTGTCTAATATTAAGTGCATATACATGCAGAATTAAACCAAACATCCTTGGTCTTTATAACTCATTATTTTTTTTGTTAATTTTTTATTTTTATTTCAAAATGCAGAGAGGAAGAAATCAGGCCCTGTCAATGCGTGAAAAATATTATATACCCTCACATTTTCTATCAAAATGATGAAACGAGGTCTATTTTATATCAGTTACAATTCTACTTTTTCGACGAGTTTAATAAAACTTGAATACTTTTTTGCGTTTTTTCACACATTTATAGATTTTCTTGATTTTATCTAGACCATATTATATTGTTAAAAATTACGAATGCCATCGAAATTTCGCTAGATTTTGAGTAGGTTGTGTGCACCTTACCTGAACAGTTTTATGCTGCGCTAAAACAAAGAGGGACCAGCTAACGACCGTTGCGACTGTATCATGTCCCTGCAAAATCAAAAATAGACATCTCTTACAACTTGTCATAATTTGGGCAGCAGCATTGAAAAATATGAAATAATCGTGAAAATTAATATAATATAACACTAGCTGAGTTCCGCCTTCGTTCTTTTGTTTTGTGACTAAAATTCCTGGAACTGAGATACATTTTTGTTTAGTACGTGTCAGTAAATTTTTTTTCAACCGATGTAAATCAATGAGATCAATACGTTGATTTAAGGTGGTGACGAATTACATTATCAATGACCTAAAAAAAAAAAAAAAAAAAAATTAAATTAATAAGTGAGATTAATTATTGTAAGAAAAATGCACTTCGCTTACCGCAAACATGAAAGTATCAACCTCTTCGCCGATATCTTCGTCGGACATGTTATTTTCCATCATGAAATCAAGAAGGGAAAGTCGGATTTTACCTGCAGAAATATAAACAGTATTTATTTATAATGATAAAATATAATTCATTTAATTAATTCATACTGTGCATGCAGGGCCGGATTTACCTACTTGCCGCCCATGGGCCGCCTGTATTTTGCCGCCCCCTTCTCATTCGTTTTGAAACATCAATAAAAGCCATCTAATGAACGTGTCAGCGGGGGAATGGTGCATAAGACGCGTTTACTCGTGTTGAATACATTTTTTGGGAAAGCCCTGGCAACACTACTAGCAAAAGTTCACGGAACTTTGCGCGAAAGTTAAGTTTCGTAAATCTATCTCTGTGTGGACAAGGCCTTCCATTCATAAAAAACGAACAAAAAAATTATGAAAGAACAAACATGAATGTGGATTAATGATTTTAACTTCCACCGCCGCGCCGCGCAGACCGCACCGTGTTTGGCGCAATGCGTGAAGTACTCACGCAGTCTTGTAGGCGCTATGCGTTTCACGCTGATCGCACTGTTTACTGCCGCAATGCGTGAAGTATTCATGCATTCCTGTAGGCGCTATCCGTTTCACGCTGACCGCAATGACCGCACAGTGTTTGATGCAATGCGTGAAGTATTCGTGCAGTCTTGTAGGCGCTAATATTTGTTAAATGCCAATCGCCACGCCGAGGGTTTCTCCTTTTCATCTTAAGTGCTCTTCATCATTTCTCTCTAAGTCGCGCTGTTCCAGGCCAAATTGCGTGTTTGGTTTCTCTCTTAACTCGACTAATTGAAGGTGCTGTCTCTTGTATCACTGAAAGACGACAAAATTAGAAATTACTTTACTCTCAGGAAATGAGAGATTTTGTCGCCTTTTCTCGTTAGTAATTTTTGTTTCTAAATCCGATTTTTTTTTATACCTATACTTTAAAAAATTGCAAATTTTTGCCGCCCCGTATTGATTTGCCGCCATGGGCCGCGGCCCATGTGGCCACCCCCTTAATCCGGCCCCGTGTGCATGCACTAAAATGTATGAGATACTTCTCGTCCTAAACGAAAAAAGCTGGTCGCTTACTCATGTGTGATACATGTGATCGGTCTTTTAATTTCAGGCGCTGTTTTCATGTTCCCATCTGCCCATGCCCTTTCAAATCGTGCTTAAATTCAAACCATGCAGTTCATAAGGTAATTTTCACGGCACTTTTTAAACACTGTACTTTGGTTTTTCCGATTTTATTTTTTAGAGGCAGTCTGATTTTCTTTAGAGTTTTAATTCAATATTGAGCAAGTTAGTTTAAAATTCCATCTCCATCATTGTTGAATGACAAGGGTATACTCACTTTTAAAAAAAAAAGGAGGAGGGGAATATGATAGGAGTTTTTCTTTGGCATTTTTTTCTGACGAAACCTATCCATGGTCGGTATTAAATTTAAAATCACATAGTTCAAGTACACGTACCCTGCTCCTTCGGATTTGACTCTTGTTTCGATGATTCTCTTGTTTCTCTTCTTCCTTTCACGATCTGCAAAATAAGTTCAGGATTAAAACGAATTTAAAGGGAGCCACCTAGTAGAGCTCTCGCGAACTCTCATGTAACCGGAAAAGTAAAAAGCAAAGTTCGGGGAGTTAACACTATTTTCCGCCTTATGATGATTAATTCGCAGCACTTATTGAGAATTTCATTGGCCTACACTGATAAAAATATTTGTGGTCTTGTTTTATTTTTGGTTCATGTGGGAAGCGAAACACAAATCAAGCCAAATTTTGTGTTGATTTTGGTACAGTTTGCGGTGTGAAAATAGCTCAGAGCAGAACAATAGAGAGACTGAGAAACCCCTGAGTCAACCGAAGGTCTGGATTATTTTGCGTTTTACTTCCCATATCCACACAAAATGCTGGTTACTTTTTCTTACTGTGTAGTATGACTTATGAATAAAGGATCAAGCAGTTTGAAAAACAAGTTTGTTAAATTCGGTCTCGTTTTCGAAACAGTTTGTCCAATACTTTGGTCATCAGTCATCATTTGATGACTCTGAGGATCAACTTCCGAAAGTAACTTTTTTACACTTTACAGAACATAAGCCGTGGTCAGATCAATAATATTTTCGTTAACATTTCAAGGTTACACAGTCAGTGCAAACATAAAATGACTTTATTTCAGTCTATTTCCGTCAAAGGTTTGGTTGTCACATCATTTCCGATTGACTGTGTGACCTTGAGGTACTGATGGAAAGATCGATGTGCGACTAAAGCTAGAGCTGTATAGGGTTTTCATAACACAATTAAAACAACCAAGAATTTTGAAATGACGATTTGATTATTTCTAGTGTCTGGGGAGAGGCAGACGAGTTATATTTTACTGAAAAATTTGACGCGGAGAACGGACAAACTATGGTAGGGGAAAAGTTGAATAGACCCATTTTATTCTAAAAGCGACAAAAAGCCGCCTCTCACCAGAAACTCTTACATGTTGTAGTCAAAATATACTCATACGCACCGTGTCTCGCAGCTGGTGGACCACATTACATGCTTCATCTTCTTGTTTGGCATATGATGTAAGGTTGTATATTGAGTCAACTTTTAGCCATGGCGTCATGAATCTTTTTTGACTGATGGCGGACAATCTGTAATTTGAAACATCAAAATTAAAATGAATGAAATACGTGCATGGTTATTTTTAGCATTCGTTTTTCGCTGGCGAAATAGTAATTGTTATTTTTTCAAGCGATCTCTTTCATAGAGAAAATAATGGCGTGGACGTAGCGGACTACTTCAAAATACCCTGATGTACAGCACAACTCAGTGCAACGATTAATCGAACTGAGTTGTATGAGAAGCTCATAAATAAATCAAACGTAGGCACGGCTACAATTAAAGGTCCCTCATTTCTATATTTAAGTGGGTTTGCTTCAGGCACTGCTCAGTGGTGATTTTGTGCGATATTTCTTTTATAGTCGGAAAAAGTTTATCTCGCCACAAATACATTTGAATAAAGTAGGTATTGATGTCTTTTTGATTCGCAGTTTATACTCAGATATAATTTCGAATATCTTTATCGATATAATGCGAAACCACGTTTCTCCGTTTGCGAGGTTACAGACTTTTTGTCATACTTTATTTTTCCTTTGGAAAACTAGTTGATATAATTTTGTGAAAACTTCCTTATTTTTATTCTTGGTTACCAGAATATTCTGTACAGTTTTCATAATGTAAAGCTTGCTTCTTCCTCTTCGAATAAACAAAATAGGAGCGGACATTTTGAAATATCGCAATGGAGATACGTGCTTTTGTACTTTTGCCATCGCTATATCATTATGGACTTTTAGTACACTCTTAAACTATTCTATTTTCTTAGGGGCCACCTTGAATATCTAATGATTTATATTCGAACGTCCTCTACCAAAATTAAAGTTCATACATCAACCGCGTAGAAATTTTGAAGATAAACAAGAATACGTACGTATTGATAGCTTTAATGAAGTCACAGCGTGCGTTGAGCTGAGCATTCAGGTGATACCCCATGGCCGTCTCTGAAATAGGTAAACAACATTTTTCATCACCCCTCAGGTTATTAAGACGAGTAAGGAACATTGTTATTAGCACAACAATTGTTTTAAATGTCTGTGAATAAATACTCTTCTCTTTTTGGGAGAGATGCTCTACGCTTCAGCCCTTAAAAAGGGCGTTTGAAAAATGGATTGGACTAAATATGAGAAATTAAAGATAAATTACTTAATGACGTTTTATATTATGCGAAAGTAATCATTAATTTTAACTAGTATATCGATGGCCAAAGTGTGAAATCACTTATTTTGTATTTTCAAAAAATGTCTGTTCCTATTTTATTTTTTCAAACAGGTCAATTTTTGAGCTTGAAAATAGAAGATATTTTGCTTGCCGGAGGAAAAATCAAGGAAGTTTTCGAGAAAATACGTAGACTAGTTTTTCAATTAAAAATAATGCATCACTGGAAGTCTGCAACATCGCCGGAAGAGAGGCATGGTTTCCCACTCTTGTCATCGATATTACTCAGATCGAGATCTATTATTGTGATAAGGAAAAATATACAACTGTTGTAATTGAATAAGATATTATAAAAGTTTACAGAGTAAATATTCAAGCAGTGCGTATCATATGTTATAACATCATATCGTTACGTAACATACAATAATAGTATTAAAAAGTCGAAAAATAACTCTGGAGACTTAGAGTAGCGTATTCAAAATAATGCCACATCCAAAAACTGCCCATTTATCACGAAACCAACTGAGTTTAATGTATTTTACAACTGGACGTACAAACGGAACTACGCGCATTATGACGTGAGTCCTGTTACGCATGTATTCTTATGGGTCTCAGGGCTCATGTCTTAATGCACAGAGTTCCGTTTGACAGAAATACATCCAACTGATGAGTTTTCTTTCCAAAGATGTAACCGACCTGCGATGATGTCAACGGCAACGAGCTTAATGTACTCAGTGACGTCAAATTCCTCTTTGTCCACCTCTTTTCTAAGCAGTTGCACGAGCACATCACTGCATGAACTTGCCGGTTGAATGAACGACTCCAGTAGTTTAAAGTGAAACGATGGAGTGAGCAGTTTTCGCCGCTGATGCCACTTCTCGCCTAAAAGAAAGTTGAAAAATTAAAAAACTGAAAACACGATTCAGAGAAATCAGCGACCTTAATGGAGAATTTGCAGGTGTCTGAAATTTGACGAATTCCGTGTTTGAACGGACGTTACCAAGTAAGCTGAACACAAGGATACCCTTGATTCATAAATTGAACAATTATTTGGGGACACATGACAAAATAACCGAATCTGCTAAAATGCATGCGTTTAAATGGGAAATGCCGCCATATGACGTCACTAGGCGGCACATTTTCTCATTTTTAAATATATTTTTACGCTATTTCCCGTAGCCAAACAAAATTATAAAAAATACTGTGAAATCAGCTCTTTAAGCACTTTCAGATGAAGCAATAAAAAATTTGCGTGCAAATTCTCCATTGGATCGCATTTAGCAAAAAGAAACCAGCGTGATTACAGTGTTTTCAATATCGTAGAAAAAATTATTTTTTTTTTTTTCAAAAAAATAATGAATATGTGTACAACATTAAAATTCATACAATTATTTCCCTTCAAAATCAGCAATTTTTGTGGTGGGATGCAAAAACTATTTGCTATTTTGGGAGATTTTTTAGAAAATTATGAAGAGGCTACATTTAAACAACACTGTAAATGCGTCGGTTTGTTTTTGCTAAATGCGATCTAATTGCAGCCTTATCACTTGAATACATACATAAAAACTTATTTCAAATCATGTTGGTAGAAGGACGTATAATGAAAAGAATTTTGAAATCTCTCATTCGTGGGAGGTGTTTAAATCTACCTGGTATTTTTTCCTAGCCCAGCGTTAAAGTCACTCAGGTGTACTCCTGCTATTTCCGATCCCACATTTTCTATTATTCATAAAAACTCTGTCAGTAAGTTTTATCTAGTCGTGCAATCGTAGTAGTGTAATATTGTAGTGAAACTCTCAAGAGGCTCGCCTGCTTGCAAAATAATCGGCAGAAAAATAATACGGCAAACGCAGGATAAGCAAAGGAAAAATACACCATTTTTGACTTAATAACACAATACTCAGACAGTGCTCCATCTCTAAGCTGCATGAAGCTTTATCTTACTTTGTACATCGAGAAAGATGAAACCCAATGCACTGTGAAAGAAAAAATGAGGTTTCATTTTTCAGACGAGGGTAATGTGACCTTGACAAGGCGTGACCGAAGAGGGTAACAGGTACACACGAATATAAATTCGCGGATAAGTCGATGAGCAGTCTGCAGTCTCGGGAATGGAAACTGCATTAGCATTATGCGCTGGTTTCACGCAAATCTTTGGAGCAAACAGTTTCTTTCAAACGATTAATCGGATGGCTTTAACCAGAGTCGGCCGAACTACATCAGATGTTGCCTAATATTATCTGATACTGATACTCAATTTTTGAAAAGAAAACTAGGCAACACTGGAACTCGGAAATTTGTTTCGTATATTCTTTATGAAGGTAAATTCACAGCGAGGCTAAATGTGTTAAGTCGTTTAGTTATCAATTTAAAAAAAGACACGAGGAATAATTAGAGGACATAAAATGCAGTTAGGCTGATTTCGGTGAAATTAGTCCAAGTATTAAAACTCGTTTAATACTTCTTGCCAAAAAATCTTTTCACATTGCTCCTGCGTTGCAGCTTTCATGCAGTTCTGCAAGAAAAAAGCTCGAATAACGAAGAGCTCTATAGGAGAGTCATTTTCCGTTGCCAGTTTTCTGGGAGTGGTTTTAACAGCAGGAACCGTACTGGAAAAATCCCACACTGGAAAACTCGCCCCTTCATGACAGACGCAGAGAAAGATTCGCGTAGAAAAATTTTTTAGCAAAAAGTATTATTCAAAGTTCCTCTATTTTAGTAACCTTTGGAGGGAAACAAACTGCGCCGGAGATCGCGTGAAATTAGCGGCATAATGCTTAATGGCTGACTATCTTTCCGCACAAAGTACATTAGTGGTAATTTTTCCGATTATCGTTGCCGCACAAAATCATATTCGTGCAGATAATTTTCTGTAGTATGCGGCAACGTCGAGAAAAATATGGGGCATATTTAAGATAAATAAGTGAACAAAGATTGAAAAAAATTATTGATGTTTCCAGATGTTTGAGATCTGATTTGTGCGAAAATGATTTTGTGCGGCGACGATAATCGGAAAAATTACCACAAATGTACTCTGTGCGGTAAAGATATTCTGCCATGCTAATTAAGTCCCCATTTTCAGTAGATGCAGCTTGCGCATCGACTTGGTCGCGCAAACAAAACAGGGAAAACGACGGCTTGGAAGAATAATTTGGCCTGCATGTGGGAATGGTGAAGCCGGAAAAGCACATGAATCCTTCCGCCTTCTCCCTGCATAAGTTTATTTATGGAATCGATTTATCCAGTCGGATCGAACCAGCGCCGAGAGTCTTTGGAGTTGCAACCTTCACCGAGGACAGCTTTTTGCAACAGAGAGTGATGCATCGCGCGAAACGAGGAGTGCCCGCGGCCGGAGAGCTTCGCAGTCTCCTCGGGTCGATAACTTCTTCTCACAGTGAGCCACGCTAATGCACGCCTCTTGCATACGATTTGCAGACAAGGTTGCAAAATAGATCGGTTGAATATTTTCCACACTGAAAAAATTGGTATGCTGTTTTAGCACCTAGGATGTCAAAAGAGTGTCTAGTGATCCTAATATGCTACCTTGATTGCCCACGCAGTTGAATTTGCATTCATAGGATGCAAAGTTAACTGCGAGGGCAGTAAAGGCAGCATCTTGGGATCCCCAGACACATTTTTGACATCCTAGTTGCTAAAACAGCATATTATTTTTTTCAGTGCAGGCAGGAGAAAGAGCTGTTGTTTCTGAGAGAGGATGAATGGATCGTATTCGATATGCCTAGGCAAATAGTCAAATATTCTTACTTAGATTGAAATTTGAGTTTTTACCCTAATTTTAGACGTAATAATTCGTTGCTACTGTTAGAAAGAATTCTCTATAAAAATATGCAGCATACAATAGCATTTTAAACGATTTTAAGATCCTGAATGCACATTTATCATGAAATTTTCAGCACGTCATAAAACATAGAATAATTATAATTTTAACATTTAAAATTACTAAAGGCTTATGGAAGGGAGGAACAAGGAGAGTCCACGGATTTGAGGAGTTATTCTTTCCAAAATATTGAAAACCCGTGCCATAAATTTACAGAATTCCGTAAGCTGTCAAAATTTGACTACTGGCCTGGGCATTTGGTAAAACAGCAATTCTTTAAAACTGTCATGATTTTTCTTCTCTGTGCGGAGAAAATTCTGCAAAAACTTCAAGGAATGATGTCAATCTGTTCTCCTTTAAACAAATAATATAGAAGCGGAGATTTTTAGACACCGCAAACGAGATATGTGATTGCGGACTTACGCCGTCGATATATATACATTTTATTTTGCAGCTGCGTGTGAATCTACTTTACGTCAAATGAGTCTACAACTGAGAGAACTTCTTGAAAAAAAGGAGAATGGACCACTAGATAAGGTACGAATTTCAGCATTCTGATACATGTTTCTTAACCAAAATTGTACGTAAAACACGATGCACACAACGAAAATTACCGAAATTAACTCCTTACGAAGATATTTAATGATTCTTAATGCGTGAATTCAAACCACCCGTTCATGAAAACTCAATGGTCTACGTGATTCACATCGCGCGCTAAACGTTATCATGACAGTCTCTGCGATATAAAAATCTGGCAACCTCAATCTTGACGCTTTGGCTCAGTTATAGCAAATTGCTAATAGTTTGAACAACACATGATGGGAAATGAACATTGCTCGATTGAGAAGCTTGCTGAAACCGTTGTAGTGGGCGATTTGACTCACGTAGAGTTTTGAGTTTCTTGTGAGCGGGCAGTTCAAATTCCTCGTAACCAATGTGAAATAAAAACGTTAATATCTTCGTTAGGAGTTGGTTTCCGTAATTTTCGTTGTGTGAATCGTTTTCTACGTGAAATTCTGGTTAAGAAACATGTATCAGATTGCTTAAATTCGTACCTTGTCTAGTGGTCCATTGTGTGTTTGTAAGACCGATGGAAATTTTTCTTTAATCTTACGATGATTTTCGTGGCAATCATGAAACGGTTCAATTTTATTAACCACTAATGCAAAGAGAGAAAAACCGATGCAGTAGAGTTAAAGTTTTGACGGATGCTGCACATGCTTATCGACAAGACTCGTTCAAGAAGCTTCTTCTTTTCTTCGATTACGTTTTCGCAACATAGAGCTACATTGCCCTCGTAAAAACATGCCAGCTGTAGATTAATTTAGATGCATTTGCGAACCTACCCGCTCCATTAATCTGAGCGTGCAAGTGAGGGAAATGTCAGGGCGGGGGGTGGGACTGTCAAATCAGCTATTAATATTTCTGCTCGCAACTCGGAACACCCCGCGGCCTCTCCCTACTTAATGTTGTTCTGCTGTTTCGTTCAACAGAATTTTCTCGGTGACCGGGGTTGCAGTTATTGATAGATATCAGAATTTTGACGGGTAAATACATATTTTCAGTCGAAATATTTCAATGTCTCAAATTCCCATTTTATTTTTAAAAGGACTGAACCGACACCATGGCTTGAAATTTTCACAAAATATTTTTCACATAGAAAAGAAAAATTCCAATGTTTTCACGAAACGATGTTCAGTATTTTCCCATGTGGAAAATATAGTAGCATTTTTATCGAGGGACTTTAGCAATAATGAAGTGCCAGGGCGCTTTGTTGGAGGGTTTTTATGTAACGAAGGGGCTAAAGCAAGGGTGTTGCCTCTCCCCCACCTTGTTTATAATATAATTAGAACATGTACTGCGTGAATGGAAGAAACAAGAAAAATGGTGGGTTCATTTCAGAGACCACAATCCTATCTCCTCTTAAGTGTAAATGTCATCTATTTGTCATATTTGTAATGTTTTATGTCAAATTCGCTTAATGGTGTGACTAATGAGTTGATGGTAACGCTACTCTGCTGAGCAAAAATTAACTCAAGTAGAGACACCATGGGGATCTGCACAGGTTACTAAGCTGGATGGAACGCCTGAAGCGACTATGAATGCAACTATTCCTGCCTCAGTGCTGTCCGTGCTGCGTCCGATAAAGTGAAGGCACTTGAACATGGCCTGCAGCCTGCAGTCGCTCATCATTAGTTCAATATCAGGTGGGGCTTGTGATAGGTATGCCAAAACCGACCTGCTCGAATGGTATGGAACCTGATGTGTCCTCTTTGATCTAAATTGCTCAAATTTTGATCAGAATGGATTGCCACCATTCATCATTTCCACGGAACATTTCTGCCAAGTTTTCATTTTAAAATAAAGCAAAGAAATGATTTTAAAACTGATGACTCCCGGCACTTTGATTGGTTCGGGAATTTGATCATGCATCGAGACCTGATGTCATCATTAGTCATGATGTCATGTTCAACAAGTTGCTCATCAATCATCATTCGGCGAACAGTAGCGTTAACCTCCGGACATAACTTTCACCTCACTCGATGACACAGCGGTTGGGGGGTCTCTATAATATATTATCTCTCGACCGGGGCTTATTGACTCGCGTGGATATTCGATAATTTCGGGTGGGGAACGCAACAGAGCAAGTCTATTTGCAGTCGTCGGTAATTGCACTGGCGAGGTCGTTGCGGTGTCTGGCCAAAACTGCAGGCGCGTGCGTCGCTCGCTCTTTGTCTGCAGCGAGATGGGGAGACAACTGGTCGTGGAAGTGGGAGGACGGGGGACTGTCTCGTCTGGCGTGCATCTGTATGTACTTGCACTTGAGCGAAGGTGAAGGCCGCCAATTTTTGACCGCTCAACGCCAGCGCAATCGAAATATTCATCTCCCGGCACCCTACCCGACCCAAGACTCTCAGATGGATACAAAAGACTCAGAATGATGCCCTGCTGATTCAAGCGGTGCCCCAATGATACGACTGATTATGAATAGACTCATGGAGGACCGTATCCATAGTTGCTTTTTAAATAGATCCTTTCCTTGGGGAGGTATCGAGAACGGGTCAACGGCACCCATTTTTTTAAAATTAATTTTCATTTTTTTACCTAACAATTTTAGTACATAAAGAAGTTTAATTTAGCACATGGTACATGGAGAAAAAAACTTCGTGCGTGGAACCCGAAGTTTAGGTCATATGGATCTCTGAAGTTTTCGGATTGAGCATCTGAACACTTTAGGTTCACCTGCTGAGGTTTGGATCACACATCTGAAACTTCAGTTCTTATCTGAAGTACTTCGGTTTTCACATTCGAAAAACTTCGGTTCTCAACTTCAGATGTAAGAACTGAAGTTTCAGATGTGTGATCCAAACCTTGACAGTTAGACCTAAAGTGTTCAAATGCTCAATCCGAAAACTTTAGAGATCCATATGACCTAAACTTCGGGTCCCACGCACGAGGGTTTTTTCTCCGTGTACAAGAAAAATATGGTTTTGTAAATACAAATTCAAATTTAACCCTCTATGGCATAGCGTTATGAATTGTAACAACGTATTTTTGGGGTTTTTAAAATTTGAATCTTTACTATGTGCCATGATTTTGCAAAATTTCATTTGTTTTTCCTTTTTTTGACAAATGTATTCCCTCAACTTCAAAATATTGAAAGGTACTGTATTTCTTTTATGCAAGCTACAAAATAGATTAGGATTCCTTCCTCCTAGAATGTAAGATTCAAAACTATTTCATGAACAGATAAAATATTTTAGTTGTCAATTACTTCATTTCAAAAAGGCTAAGCGAGGACATGTTTTGAAAGTACGGAGTGAACTTAGACCTAAGAATTTTTCATTTTGAAACCTGAATGGCAAAGAAACCCCGTTTTGAAAATTCCAAAAATGGGACCCGTCTGAAACAGTATTTTTGGCGGGCGCTGGTGGGAAACGGCGTTTGCTGATCGGCTGAACTCAAATTCAGGCATCGCCTTGCTACATCAACTCGACTGTCGGCTTTTGCGATTGATTCGATTTAGATGAGCTGTGTCTCCACCGAGAATTTATTTTTCGAATTTATTAATGGACTTTTCGGGTTCCTTTGCAAAACTTTACGTGCGAAAGACCATACTACGACCATGGAAAAATTCCTTGCCAGTGACCCATTTACATTTTGATTATCAAGAGAGGTCTAGGGAGGCTTTTAACTAAACGCCATGAAAGGGAAAAAGTTAACGCGGAACTCGGAAAAAATTCATTAGTTTACATACATAAGGGCCGCTTTCATAAAGCTCTCTGGTGTTGTGCGCTATCTAACCGTCCCTCACGGCTCTTCTGATGATTGACACTCCCACATTGCATCCGCCCACAAGTCGCCTTCTTTTCAGTAGGCGTCCCTTCCGTTTCCTCCCGAGAGGATCCCAATTTAGAATTTATTTTAAAAAACAATTCATCGCTTTAACTTTTGGAATATACTTTTTTAAGGGATCCCAATACTTTGCCACTGCAAAAAGTAAAAAAATATCTAAGGGAAAATTTTGAAAATTTTGACACTTTTAAGGTGGGTTGGTACTCACCTTCAAGTTCGCCAAACTCATGGAATCTTCCCATAATTTCCTTAAACTTTCCCTAATCTCAATGTAAACAATCTAGAGGCCTCCCGTAGAAAGTAACTGATTAAAGAGCGACAATATATTCGACTTGTAATGATTAAAGAGGTTAGATACATTTCATCGAGTCAGACAGCGGGGCCCTCAAGGTGGAGACTCTAATTCTAGGGTGCAGCGAAAAAAATATCGTTTTTCAGTTTTCAATAAAAAACGCTCTCTAATGTCAAGAACATTAAGCTCAATTCGCAAACTGTAATGATGCCATTAGCGTTTGAGATGAATCGTCTCTACAGCTGGCAGTAGAGCCGGCAAAATTTATTTGTGTTTTTCTCTGCTTCACCATTTAGCGCTCTCTTACTTTGGAAATGTACTCACATATGAAACATTAATTTTTTGAATATCCCACCTCAATGGCCCTGACTCTGCCACACGTAACAGTTAGCAAAAGTTTTATTTCTTCTGCAAAAATGACGGAAATTCAAGCATATACCAACAAATTAACCACTAATTATGAGAAATATACTACTACTATCATTTACTTATTAAGTACCTTTACTGGTGACGAGTCCTGTTCCCAGCCACTTCTCCAGCAGTTGATACTCAGCACTCTTCTCAATGCAAGCCGATGAACTTAACAAAGGCTGAAATAAAATATATTCGAATTAATTTAGATTTTAAAATTGACTGTAGCCTTGTATACAATAAAAACAAAATAATAATAAAAAAATAAAAGAAATACAAAAAAAAATAAAAAAAAAATAAAAAATTCTCTTGAAAGTATGATAGTAATGCTTTGCATGAGGTTCCGATTATTCGACCAATTTGCAATGAACCATATAACAGGGTAGGAATTTAACTTCTTTCTTCGAGACATGCTTTGAGGGGCTTTGAAGACAAAGCGTATAACTGCCGTTTTTGAGAACATTTAGATATTCATGATTTTAAAACTAGTCTTAATGCGTACTCTGTGAAAAATTCGTTCCCGAATTGCAATTTTTAAGCATCAAAAAGTCGGTATGAACTTTCTTTCCTATATAAGGATCCATGTAATTTCGTAAAAACCCGTATTTCTCAAACTTTCAGCCCTTAATCTGGTAGACATGATATATCAAAAGTTGCGGATGAATGCCTAACTTTTATAAAGTTATTTGGCTTGATTTTAATTATGATTGAAATTGAAAACGTAAACCAAAAAATATTGAATTCTATTCATGTTTGACGTACACTCTTATTCCCTAAAATCCTAAAGTGCAAAAAAACCCCAACTTTGCAAGTTTAAATGATTTATTTTTCACTTCCTGATAAATTTCCTCTTCCGAACAATAGTCAATTGAAAAACTCCTCAAACTTATGTTCCTTAGTGTCAAATGGTTCTCCATGCTGACCATTTTTCTGTCTCTATTATCTCTGTCGTAAAACTAAACTGACTAAAGTTGGGTCTTTTTTGAACCAAACTGGATTATTTTTGGAAAAACGATTACCTGTGCAGCTTCAGCCGAGCCGATAAATACGAAGGGTGAAGTGCCGACCCACAGCACGTAAACGTCACCGAAATCCTTGAAATATTTCATGTACATCTTGAATAGCTCTGAAACAAATCGACACACGTATGAGGTAGGTATGCGTGATGAAAAAAGGCTTCACTTCAAGAGACTGCGGTTCGCCACAGCGGCTACCTCCGCACAGAGAGATAGAGCCAAGAATGGATACGAATCTTAGATAAATGTCCAAGACAATAATAAATGGACTTAACCAGACCTCTAGTTCGCTCTGGATTGAACCAGAATCAGCCTGACGGTGGTGTCGCGTGCTTTGCGATGTATCGAATGATCTGCCATTAAAACCTATGGAAAAGGATCGATAAACAGGGTGTCCGCAACGAACGCACCTGAATAATCGATTCTTTACCATTCTTTCAAATGGAGATATATCGATAATCGATCATTCTCGCCTCGCCACTGCAGCCTAACTACATCGAACGCTGTTTAATTCCCCATTTGTTTACTTTCCTTGTAATAATATTAACCAGCAAAATGCTCTAAATTTTGTTGGTATGTTGCTCGCACTCCCCAAAAATTCACCGAAATTTTCAAGGCATCGTGTCTTTTGTTTTTTCTGTAAAAAATATAAAACTAGAGAGGAAAGTAGGCAGTCTAGGCGTATTAGTTAGGCTGTTTCTGGCTACTAGTGTCCGTATGAAAAACTGATGGATCAGATACCCTCTAGTTTGCTTGTGTTCACATTGTGAGAGTGTAACTTTTGACTGATGGTGCAATGTTCCGTCGAATACATCGAACAAACACTCAAAATTCGGTCCAAAAGTACATCTATAAAACACATAAAGCACTTTTAAGGAGAGGAAGCCTGAAAAAAGCTCTGCGGGTACCAGTTGTCTAAAGCCCTGAGGAGAGGGGTGTCGGCCTCTGCCTTACTTAAGATAAAACGCTTCCTCTTAATTTTTCAAGTGCAATAACTTATCAACAGCATGATAACAGCTATCATTTTTTGTTGTTACAGCGCCTGTTTCATTAAAACATGCAATAGCAATGCTTTTAAGAGTACAAGTCGGTTTCAACATTATTTTTCGATGAAATACGCGGTTTAGCCCAGCTTTACCTGGTAATAGGACGGACGGACTTGGATTGAGGAATTCTGACGGGGGAGGGTGGGGCTGCAAAATTCGGAAAAAGTCTCTCACTGAATATCGACAGTGAAACTTCTAAACCAGTATCTCGTTTGTGGTGTTTTGAAATTTCCGCCCCTTTTTATTTTGTTGAATGAGAACACATTAAAATTATTCCTTAAAAATTTCACAGAATTTTCTTCGCACAGAGAAGAAAAATCAATGAGTTTTTACATACTTGACGTTGATTAGTTCTCATTTTAAAAACTGAAGTATGACAGGAAGTATGCGACGCCACGAACCGTGGTACACGGTTTTGGAGTTTCACTATCGATATTTGAACGAGCGCCAGGTAACTTTCCGAAACTTGCCCGGTTAAACCATTAAGTTTACAGGAAAGTTTTGGGAATTTTTTTATCGTGAACAGGGTCTGAACAAAGTTCTCAGGAAATTACTGCACGAAGGAAATAAAAACGGGATTTTTATTTGAGACAAGTAATTAATGAGAAGTTTCCATGATTCAACAAGTTTACCCACAATTATTTTGCAGAATTTCCTCGTAGATATTTTGTGTATTATTCCTCATAGAATATATTCATACAGCAGCTTTAAACTGCATTTCCTAACTCCTGCAATTAAGTAAGCATTTTCTTACTTGTTTCGTTCCTCATCTCACAATGTAGAGTTACCAAGATATTTCGAATGCTGCGTCGAATAAATTCGCTTTTCCGTGATAATTCACATGCAAATATGACTTCAAGTCGAGGAGTGCGTGTAAATTAACACTTCCGTTACAAAGTGAACAAATGAATCAGAATTCAGTGGTAATGTTTCAGGTACGCATACATTCGGTGGAGAAAAGGGGGGGGGGCTGCAGAATCAGGGACATTTTTGTAAGGAACGCTTCCTATGAGAGTTTAATACGGTGTCCTGAAATTTGAGAGAAACAACATTGGTTTCCAACCTTGAGGCACAGTTTTTAAATTGAACGAGGAAAATTTTAATTATTGAGCATCATTTTAGGAATCCTACATATTTTTTACCCCAAAATTTTAATTTTGTATTGCTTTTCATAATAACATTCCAGTACGTAAATCGAAGCTGAGCCAAACATCGCCTAAATTATATTATGATGACATAAAGTGGCCACATGTAATCACCTGAAATTTTGTGCCTACTATGTTCCAAAGATGTCCAAGTTAGTATAATTCAGGTTTTAAACGTCTAAAATGAATGACAAGTCTTAAATCACAAAAACTAGATTTTACCTCATTTGGCCTTCGCAAAAACATAACTCACATTTCAGTAGGGTTAGGGCAGAAGATTGTATCATATTTACGAGCATGTTTATTAAAATTTATCGTGCTACAGTTTCGCCATTGAAACTAGGAGATCATAATCGTATATTTTGGCTTGTGATACTACAGATTAACTGTCACACTTCATATTTTTGATAGACAAATGGTCATCAATGCGACCAGTCTAACTCTACAAATCATGCAACTATTTTGGCTCCAAGGAAGTCTGTGTTGCATACGCACGAAAGTGAAGGCGTTTTGACTTCACAGGCACTCGCCGATTCCTTAAAATCCATACGAGGAAAAATAAGAGTGTTGAGAATAATCTCCTCACTTTCTTATTGCTCTCTCTTTTTCTTCCTCTCATTTCATTCTTCTTACAATTATTCTCATCATTTTTTATCCACTCATACCGCAATCCCTGCTCTGACCATCACACATAAGTCTTTTTTTCAAAAATATCAATAAAAATAAGACTTCTTTTGTCTTAATAAAGTCACCAGTTGTCTCTCAAGATAAGTTTTGTTTACTCCTGGAACTGACACCGTGGCTGGTTCATGTTTTCTCTTCCCGAACGCCTGCACCTCTCAAAAAATTATGCAACTCTTGAGATATTTTTTGCCACGATCTCTCCAATTTGGCACATATGATAACCCTCAAGTGTTTAATCACTCATTTTGTGTGTCTTTGCCTCTTTCGAGTAGTGATTTTGCCACAACTGCAGTCCACGTGCAGAGCAGGTACACCAGAAGTGCGGCGAAATACCTATACCGCACCTTTTCATCAAGATGGTAAAGCTTACAATTGATGAAAATTAAACCCTTCGAGGACATATTTTCTTATGATCTGATCGATAACTCGAATCCGCACTTGAAAGCCTAAACAACTTTAGATAATCGACGAACAAACCGGTGGTGGCTATTTTCACGTGTCCAAAACAAACCCTGTGCAAGACACGTATTGTTTCGGGTATCTTTCTGAGGTAAAGGGAAGAAGTGGGCGTAGGGGGTGAAACTGGAGTGCATGACCGTTCGATATATTCTTGTTAATGTTCTTATTCATTAAGTCAATGCGACTAAGTTGGGTCATTAAGTATTTTTTGTAGGCGAGCGCATAAGAGTTTCATATTCCTGCATGCGAATGAAGAACTTAAAATCCTCCCTAAAATCCTTCAAAAAAAAAAAAAAACCTATATGTAGATTAGGAACCGTTCTCAATCTTTGTGTTGAAATTGCTAGAGATGACGATGGGGTTTCAATAGCAGGGGAAAAGGTAACGATATCGTCGATGAAATCGATCGAATTTCCCACGTTGCGGATTTCGATCGATCAAAAGATCCACATTTTTTTGCAAAAAAATTGTCTACTTGTTGCAGAATTTCTATTTTAAATTTCGAGACAAGGCCGCATCGAGGAAAAAATAAAAGCAAGCAAACCCTTAAATGTCCCCCTCCTCTACAGCTTATGCTGTCTTCAGTTTCTCTTGTTTCCTTCTGGCTCATAAATAGTTAGTTCCAAATAGCAGTTAATCGATGGATTCACTAGAGGTTCCTTCATTTGACTGATATGCAATTTGATCCCCAAGGAGTTATAATAGTTGCTCGAGGTCCGAGGTTGCGATCAGAGCAAAGCGCTCTTCAATGATTATGTGGATTGTGCCCTTTTCAGATTGATTAGCCTGTCGAGTGTAAATTTCGGAGCTATAGTGAGAGTTTGCGGACGATTGGAACATTTCTTTTTGGAGACAAATTTTCATGAGCTTTGCTTTTTGAAGCTTATTCAATTGAGAGTACTTTTATGGGCGAAGTGTGGTGATCCATACTCTTTGGAAACCAAAACAATGTGTTATTCTCTGCATGATTGTCTGACAGTTAAAGGTTCCATTGGTTTGTATAACTGTTAGTAAACAAAAAAATGATACCAATAAGGAATAAAAGAGGAAAGTGGATATTAGCAAAAAAATTAAACTATGCGTGAGAATGAGATTTGAAAGCTGAATAAATGAGGATCCAAGAGTCTGCGCTCGATAAAAGTATTCACATTCTCAATGCTCAGACACGGATTTGATCGAAAGGCCCATTTTTAACTATAATCGCTACTATCTCTCAGTATTGATCTCCTTTTTTTAAGGTATAAATGCTTTAAAGTTGAACTTCTGTTTATCGGGCTGCATTTTGTTTGTTGATATTACCTTTCTCCCGATCACTTGTTATCAGATTTTAGTGTTTACCAAATCCAAGTGGCCTGATGATGATGTGTACAANGTGATCGTATATTCCGGATAATCGCAATTTGATGCATGCTGCAATGAGGGGAAACGAAGATGTGAGAGATACGGTCGGAGAAGATGCGATATCAATGAGGGGAAAAAGCTTTCTTCTCTAACATGACTTCGAGCCCGGGTAATCTCCTGTGGTCAACTGAGTCATGTACGGCGGGTTACGGAAAACTATTTTTCGCAGGAATAACGATCCCGCTTGTACGTAACATCGAAATAGCTATCGCCTAAAATCTGATAACAAGTTAGTGATCGGGAGAAAGGTAATATCAACATGTAAATGCTTTGTTTTGTTGAGGCACCTTCAAATAAGCTTACGTACCAATCAGCTCACCAAAAACTCATACGAAATCATTAGTTGCGTTTCTGTACCTACGTTGGGAAAATAGGAATGATAATTTATTTTCGCATGTAATATTATTTATTTACTATCAATCTTTGAGGCTTACAAAGAAAATTAGACCGTCCATCAAGATCCGTCAAGATGCGGTTCGACACAATTTACTGCGAGGCAAGATCTGTATCGAGAAATGGCATAAGCTCTCGACTGAAATTTCGATACCTTTATTTTTCCCTTCTCATTCCTTCTTGTTACTCCCAACATTTCAGTGAGGAAACAGTTTTGGATGAAAATACATATTATGTCGTTGAAATTTAAACAGAAATGCCCAATTTTAGGTACGATTCAGATTTCCTTTAAATTTTTACATAAGACCTAAGGCGAAATTTCTCGTTTCTTCCAGTGCAGCAATTTTGCATGACATTTTCTCGGAACGCCACTTGTAATTGTAATGTGAATGTGAATACAAAATAGAGCGCTGCCTTTTTCTATGCACTTTAATATATGTCGTCATTCAGAATTTTATATTTTCCCCAACTTTATTTCAACATTTTCCTCTACTAGTAGGCGAGTTAAATGAATTTTTGAAAATACCCAGTATTAATTTGACTAGCTTCCGAAGTTTTCAGGCACATTTTCATCGATAGCAAATCAAGGGGAAATCAGAGCAATCAGAGGGGTAGAGAGGCGTTACTTCAATTTCAAAAAAATAAAAGTAAAGAAAAGATGAAGATTACAAACGAAATGTAACGGAAATGCCTGCAGATCCTCTGCTTTCAATTAGTTGTGACATTAACCTGGAGTTTGCTGGTCGGGAAGGTCAAGGAGGAAAGAGGGGGCAAGGTCGTCGAAAATTAGTCTTAAACACTATGTGCTGCTCCGCAGCGTCTTGAAGATTGTCTTCATATTCATCTTGAATTCCACAAAATTCTGAGTCCTTAGGACCGCAAGACCTCATTTGAATCAGAATTAACTTCTCCTCCGAAATCTAAATTCCAAACTTTGAAGCATTTTCAAATTTTCATCTTTTGAAGTGATCGCATTTAAATAGAACCATTTCTAAAGTTTCATCTATTTTTTGGCACAGATAATTCCGAGTCACTCTTTGTTTATATTCAGAAACATTAAAATTCATTATCTTGCACAGACCGTCGGTGCAATAAGGCAATCTAAAAACAATCACAAAATGAAATTGCACATTATGTAGCAGACGAAAACGGCCGATATCAAAACCGGTTTCTTTTGAGCTTTCCCAGTGCGTGTTTGGAATGAGGATGTCATTATTGCAAAGTATGACAAAAATTGAACTAATTGTATAAAATGTTCGAAAAACTAGCATTGACACGAGACCGGTCCATGAGATGCCATGCAATCCAATCAAGGTACAATACCTAGCTTTTCTCTGAAAGTCTATTCTTTCTCGTTTCGCGCTTGCCTTTGAAATCCTTTGAATTCCTTTCCCAGATCCGCATATAGTCCTGAATATATTTATTGCGAGCGATTTTGTTCATTTATGTACCTAGAGAGGGTCACAGGGCGCAAAGTTGCGCAATTTTGTGCCTTTAAAATGGAGGGTTAGAATTTCAAGAACTTTCCTCTTGGAACTACTTTTGGGAACTGCAATACTTAAATCACCATAAGTAGAGTTTTGTTTGGCATTTTTGTCTTTGCTCGCAAATATTCGCAGAACACCCTTCTTCGTTGTGGGGTTAGTAACTCAACTTTTAGGGTTTTCGGATTGAAGTACCTTCCTTAGTAAACACTCATACAAAAAGGACTCTCAGGGAGGTTTTGAATCAATTTTTTTCTCACAATCCGACCTCAGAAACTTGAAAATAGTTCCTAAAAATTTTATGAGGATTCATGAACGGAGGCTTCCACTTGCAAGACTGAGGATTTCTATTTCCATGAGATTGAATCCGCACTGATCCACTATCTGAGGCCCCTGAAATTAAAGCAGTTTTCTGATAAGATGTCTCTTGGGACCGGAGACATTTGCTCGATCTTTGAAAATGCAAACTTTTTGCCGCTTTGCCTCCAATTTTGTTTGACATTTTGTTTTGTCCGAAAATGTACGTTGAGCACCCCTCTCTGCTGTGTCGTCAATGACTCAATATTGAGTTTTTGGTGACTAAGGTATCTTTTCCACAGACACGCAAGGAATTCTCAAAGAGTTTTTGACTCTAAATTCCTTTTAAAATTCACCCAACCTCTCTCAAATTGAAAATACTCGTTAAAAATTTGCTTGCGAAGAATGTAGCTTCCGCACTGAAAAAAATGGTATGCTGTTTTAGCACCTAGGATGTCAAAAATGTGTCTGGTGACCCTAAGATGCTGCCTTGATTGCCCATGTAATTGAATTTATAATTTTTTATATTATATTTATTAATTCAAATTTTTTTTATTGCAGGATGTAAAGTGAACTGCGGAGGCAGTAAAGGCAGCAACTTGGGATCATCAGACACATTATTAACTTTCTAGATGCTAAAACAGCATATTATTTTTTTCCAGGGCGAGACTGAAAATCTAGCGACTCTATGAAAGAGAATGGGAACTGACCTGTCTGAGGCCCGAGAAGTTGGAGGACATTTCCTATGACGGGGTATCCTTTGGGACCGGGAATATTCTCGTAGAAGGCGACATAGCGACGCCTGCGAATGAGCAAAACCACCAACACCAACACACACACGATGGCGGCTAGAACGCCGCTGACCGGCCGCCAGGCCCACTCACCCGCACTCATACTCATACTCGCTGCCGTAACCATTATCGCGACAAGTGAACTTGGTCCGCACCAACTCTAAGCTTATATAGCGCCTCCACCTCCGCTCCACCGACCACCGCGCTGGCCCGTCCCGGCTCCGGTCGTCCCACCACCGGAGGCCACCCTCCTCGGGGCTCCTCGCCTCCGAGGGCTACTCAGGCCCGTCAGGAGGGGCATAAAAACTACGCATTTCCGAGGGGCGCAAATCAAATCCTATGGGTTCCAGCCGTGGTGACAAAACATACCTCTGTTCATTTATTTAATTTTTCACAGATTCCCACGTTTATTCCTCGAGTCTCCTTGTGCCCCATTCTCTATTTCTTCATCCTTTTATCTTTCTTTCCGCTCTACTTCCTTCGTTCTATTCTCCTTCCTCCTGTTTCTCTCCTTCTTCCTCATTTTATTCATTTTCTCCTCATTCTCCTTCCCCTTCATCTCCTTTTCCCTCTCTAACTCCTTCGTTCTATTCTCCTTTTTCCTCCTTTTATTTATTTTTTCCTTATTCTCCTTCCCGTTCCTCTCCTTTTCTCTCTCCGACTCCTTGGTTCTATTCTCCCTCCTCCTGTTTTATCTCCTTCTTCATTTTTTCCTATTGTTCTCCTTATTCTCCTTCTCCTTCCTCTTATTATCTCTCTCCACCTCCCTCGTTCTATTCTCGCTCCTCCTTTTTTTCTCCTTCTTCCTCCTTTTCCTCTTTTTCTCCTCATTTTCCTTCTCCTTCCTCTCATTTTCTTTCTCCAACATCTTCTTCTTATTCTCCTTCGCCTTTTTTATAATTTTCCTCTTTCCATGTATTAATTTTGCAGTTTGCGTGGATAATGATTTTCCCGCGTGGTAACTTTCGGGGGACTGACTACTCCCCCTCACGCCTGTCCCTAACGAGAAACTCAAATCGAAAATCACAGCCGTGATTTGTGCCTGCTTTTGAGAGGACGAGGCAATCCACCTCTGACTGGCGAACGGTCCCTGCCAGTTTTCAAGTTTGCTCGTGCATATATTTTTTTTAGCTCTTCAAAACACATGAATTGGCTCTGCCGAATGTTGAATGCCTCAATAAGTATAGAAATTTACCTATCGAAAACTTCAAAAATTGGCTTTCAAAAATAAAAAGTTTCCAGATCGAGCTCTTCTTGCGCAATGATGCGCACACGGCGCTCAATAAGAAAGAGTATGGAAGAAAATGAATCCGAAATGCCGTAGTCCGAGATTACCAAAGGGTTTATGGTTTGATAAGGAATAGTGGAGTATGGGGATTGTAGAACGCCAGGAAGCGCTGTGCACCTGTCTGATTATGCTCAGAGATTATTTTCAGTAGTCTCAAAATGTTCCATTAGAGCCAACCAGACCCGCTGCGATAGTTACCTCATTTTTATTTTTTTCCGCCTATGAACCATTGTTTCTGACTCTATCACATATCATGCAGTTGTTACAGACTGGACCAAGTTGACAACCACCAAATGTGCGAAAAAATTGCGGTGCAAAGTAGTAGAGCTGTTGGAAGCCATTGGTTGAGAATGGGATAATTTGTGTTTGCTACGCCAAAAAAGATGTGAACATAGGTACGGTTCGTGTGATACGCGCCCGCGAGGCGAGAGTTTGAATATATTGTACGAGAGTACTCGTGTTTTCAGATGGGTCGATTCTTTCCTCGTCCCATTAAAATTTGTTGTTTTTTGCTGGATTTTGTGGGATTTTTGTGTGAGTAATTCTCATTATTAGTTTTCAACTTCAGCCACCATGGATGAATTTGTGCAAATCCTCAAAACTAAACCTCTCAACTCAATATCAAGCCGCATCTTCAAGAACTTCTTTATCGTTCCTGGCCCTTGTCACAAACTGTAGACAGAGGATTACATTGGTCGGGACACCCCTGCAAAAATCTATTTTGACGAGACCTACTGTTGAAAGAAAAAAAGATTATTTCAAAATCAATATGCTTCTCAAATCGATTTTAATATTCAAAAGGTATCAGGTGGGCACGTGGGATCGTAAATATTTTAAATTCGCCGCATTGCGTAACGTTACGTAAGGAAATAGCTGTCACCTCTTTCTTTCATGACCAGAGAGCAACTTCTAAACCTGGCGTATTTTCCAACCGCCTGAACTAATCGTTTTGGGAAAACCTCTTTCAAAAAATTCTGTCATGTGTATTTTAGAGGCAAATGGTAGCATTTGTACGTGTTTCATGCAATTGGCTCACTGTTTTTAAGTAAATCCAATTGATGGATCTGGAGAAAACAGTAAAAAATCAATTCTCTTGATTCTCCGTCAATTGAATTTATTTCTTTACAAAACAGCGCTCTGCACAATTTGGTGCAGAGTGCACAGAGGACCTTACGTGTTGATGGGTCGTTGTTGATTGAAATAATACTTTTTTGCTTAATCAAAAATACGCTCCCCCTCTCTTCTTGAATGCTTGGCGAAACGATTTTTTCTTCAACGCGACTAAGTAATTTTTTCCTGAATTCAACGACATTTTAATTGTTTTTCTTTTATTTTCGGAATCTATGGAATACACCCTTCAAAATTTGAAAGTTTCCAATGGATTTATTTTAAAAAAATCATTCAATTTGACGGAATTTTACAGAGTTGCACGAAATCGCATCCGCACCAAGTCTTAATCGAAGAAGAGGTTGGAAGTTTCATTCATGACTCAATGTTATAGGCAATTTTAACAGTTGTTTTCACAATCAAATTTTTTTTTTCTCAACTTTGAATTTTTGATGTAGAAGAAGATTTGTGACTACTTGAATTTGAAATACTCCGACTGATTTTTTTTTTCAAAATGTAACTTGGTGCGTTTATGTAAAGTTTGCTTAAATTATACGTTGTTTTCAGGAGGAATTTACCGTAAACGCACTCTGGAATTAAATCATTCATGAAAGTCGCATCTCAAATGTGTACTCTAGATAGCTTTTGACATAATATTATTTCTCTTCAGTCTGATTATAAGTGGAATGCGTTAGGCAGAAAGGAAGCAAGCCACATCAGACATTTTTCAGCCTTTCATCGGGCAATTTCATTCTTTACATGAAGTCGGTTGTACGGATTTCGTGCAAATCTCAGTGAATTTTCTGCTTTAAACAAAGCAAACGCCTTAAAATTTTCCAAGGAATCCGCCTACACTTTTTCTTTAAAAAATTAAATTCCCCAATTAAATTTGGCAATATCTGATGTGGCTTGGTTCCTTTCTGCATAACGCCGTACAAGTAACTGCTATATTAAAGGTATTTCCGTGGAGCCGAAAAGTTCCTCTTCTAAAAAACCAAAATTCATCTACTGCTTGGACCACGTGTGCTGAGCGAAAATTATATATTTTTACCTTGGCGTCAGTTCTACAAGCCATTAAGATACGCGAGCTTATCGGTGTTAAATCGTCCAGACGGTTTGTTGATAGATTTCGGTTCACCATTGTGTTCGTGGGCATCCCACTGCGCGAGGTCACGGACCATTGAAACGGAGTAGATACGGTTTCGATGTTTTTGTGCAGCTTCCGACTTATTTTCTCAATCGCAACTACGACGCAGTGTACAATTTAGTAGCAGTTATACACACGCAATGTTCAAAAATTTAGGATCAAACACGTACCGGAACTCCGTATTATTAACGCGAATACTTTGTGCATAATTATTGCTCTGAGCGCCGCCCTGTGGATCGAGTCAATAGGAGAGGTCGGACAAAATTTGGAAACTTTAAACACTTATACTCCGTTTTAGAAAAATTTGAGATTCTAAAAAGGGCTTCATTGGTTTTCTCGTAACATTTTCTTCAAGAAACACTCCTCAAAGTTTAAAATGTGGCGAAATAAACATCAAAATTTGCAGTTTTAGCCGAAACTTTCATGTCTGACCTCTCTAACTGACTCGATCCACTGTGCGCTGGCTCACCACGCCGCCGGTCTACATCATTTCAATAAGCTCTCAGAGCTTTTAAATTTTCATTTTTTGCTGCAGTTCGTTTTACCATTCTCCTGAGTCGCTTTTCATGATTCTTGCGGCTACCAATAGGAGATAGTCTGCAAAGGAGCCCGCTTTATTCAGATTAACTCACACAGGCCACAAAAGGAACCTTAGAAGCAGTGGCGAGGAATGAATGATCGATTTTCGATATTTCCCCGTTTGAAACTATGGTAAAGAATCGATTATTTAGGTGTTCGTTGCGAACACCCTGATTACCGATCCTTTTCCATAGGTTTAAATGAGGAAATATCGAAAATCGATCATTCAAGCCTCGCCACTACATCTAATGTGACTAAAATGAACATGAATATTTACGATTTTGGCCTGAAAATTCCTAGCCGACCTCTTTTGAAAGCTCGTTCCACTGTGCGACGCGAGAACAGCTAATGGCAGTCATTGTTCCTCATTCCAGGAACATCATTGTCATTTCTTCTAGGAACTCTGTTGCAGACTCGCGAAAATTCCTAACTCGATCCTCCCAACCTCTATCTGCCTCCTTGCCAAAAACTGCGCGGCACACAGTGGATCGAGTGAACAGGAGAGTTCGGACAAAATTTAGAAACTTTAAACGCTTATAACTCCGTTTATACGAAACTTTGAGGTTCTGAGAGTGGTTCCATCGGTTTTCCCGTGAAATTTTCTTCTCGAGGCACCCTTTCAAATTCAAAATGTGGAGAGATAAATATCAAAATTTGCAGATTTAGTCAACATGTCCGACCTCTCGAATTGAATCGTTTCACTGTGCGGCGCTCTCTTAGAAATTACTTGATCGAAAAGATATTCGACCAGCGTTGAGAAATTTGCTGGTGAAATATTATTTAGAATAATCCCATTTCCATTCGTCAAAGCGGAAGAAGATATAATTGGTTTTGGATAAACATGTTTGAGTGTACTCTATAGCTTTCCTTTAGGGACATTCCGGAATCTGCGACCCTGCTATTGGGAATCTCGTGGTTCCAAAAATTGGCGAATCTATCCTTGACTTTGTACACGAACTGCCTTGTTAAGGATGGGCACGCAGTGTCGGTGAAGATTGGGCTTTTA